CCCCCCCCCCCCCCCCCCCCCCCCCCCCCCCCCCCCCCCCCCCCCCCCCCGCCTACTCATATTGGAAAAGTTTCACATACAGCATAACTGATAATTTATTGTTCGAATATGACACATCTGTTTTGTTTTGATTCACATCGATTTCTAAGAAGTTTTGATTTATTGTTGTATGTTTTATGGAAACTTTTGAAATAAATAGGAATATAGAACATATTTTACGATCTTTAGTTTTTCCTATATAACATTTAATGATGAAAAATTTGACTATCATCAACTTAGCAGCAAAAAATATTAACCAATCCTTATGTGCATGCAAAATTTCAGTTTTCTACGAAATAAAACAGCGAAATAGTTTACTAATTTCGCGAAAAAAAATCTCCTGGTTAATATCTGATTTTTTCCTGAAAAACTTCTACTTTTCGAAATTTGGATTTGGCAACCTTGTAAAGAATGCTTTTATCATGAACGATGGTAAAGGAAGCAGACTCATGATTAATACTAACGCTAATTTGATGAATATGTTCTTATGTAGTAGTAGTGCTGAAAGGTAGTGATTTGTTTGTGTTCTACCAAAGAATACGTCACAGATTGGTTCAGCCATGACATGATATACTTTCTAACAGTGGTACATAACTATCGATTCATTAATTAACGTAACATTGAAGCGAAGTGAATTCCTATTTTATTATTGGGGGAAAAAATTAATTTCTCAATTTACAAATAGTCACCTTCAGACATCTCAACACATTAGACGATATCGATACGATTTTTGTATTTTTCTACTTTTCATTTCTATGAATGAATGTGTTTGAGTTTCGCCTCAAGTGGGAGCTGCAAATTTTATTTGTTCCTTTATTCTCATAAATAGTCAACTTATCTTTTATGCAGGATTATTTCATCGGAAATGCCTCGAGCTGGTAAAGGAGGTAGATTGATAAATAAACTATTTGGATGTGTGTTTTACAAAGAAATGCGTACTCCTTCTCTCTAGAATTATTTTCGAAATACATTTCTCAATAAACTGGCAGCTTGAGTAACCTATTCATACATGCTGGACTCTTATTGTGAAATTTTTATGCGAAATATAACTTACAGTGTTGTCATTAATTTTTCCGATAAAACTTAAATTAAATTAATTTTTTTTCTAAAAATATTGTTGGAAACAAGAAAAAAATATGATTTCCTTAGAGGCTTGATGAACACATTCATTAAAGTCTAAGTTCCGTTGGTTTATTATAATCTTTGTGGCACTAGAAAACGTACTTATGAACCTAAATGGTCACCTAAATGTTTTCAATGTATATACATATATTATAGCGTTCATGTTATACGTTCTAGGCTATAGTATCTTCGTATGCGATAGCTTATCAATTCGACATGTGATAATTTTCTCCTGTTCAGTCAAAAATTTGCTGTAAACACTCCGAAACATATTACAGGTTCACATCGCTGAATCAATGATTCCGAGGCAGTACCAAGGGCTTCCAACCGCTCTAAAATATTTCTCTGAACTTATAATAGTAAAGAAAATGCATGTAGACCACCTAATATGAAGATTAAGATAATATACCTGAAACACGCGGCAACCTGTTTTCACATCGCACGGGTTAATTCTGAAAATTTTTGCGTGCAAGTCCAAAATTACTTCAGTTTTAATAATATAAAATATGCTACTTTTATATTTAGATGAAAGATTTGAGTAGGCTATGCTCATTTTATTTATAGATGCAGGTGAGATTTACAGATTTCAGCACGAACGATAGCGTTTTGTTATGGCACACACACACACACATAAGAAGATTCAACTATAAATGTCATAGATGTGCACGCTAATACCTAGTATTAAGATATACGGGCAATGGGGCATCTACTGCTATCTTCAACTTTTGTACGGATAAAGTACAATCATTTTTAATACCTTTTGTCATGTTGTACGAATATTACCTCGTATTTCATTCGAACTAATAAAAGTGAATACAGAGATTTTAAGTCTCTTTATTTCAATTCGCATCAATTAGTGTCAGTGATTTTCTTCAGCTATGAAGCTTTTTATAGCGTTACTTGTACCATTTATAAGAAAGATATTTTGCAATTATAAACATTTAGAAAAAAACATTTTCGTATATGAATTCTTGCGTTTAAAATTATTCAAAATTGATATCTAATTATTATAATTATCATTTCTTTTCCGTTATGTTTCAAACACGTTTGAGATCATCATGAAAACAAGAGAATACTATAAACAGTGTTATTGACTCGAATGTATTTATTTTACTTTCAAAAAAGTAATGAATTCTTTTTTTTTGGAAGTTTGAAGTTGAGTTTTTCTTTTCATATTAGAAGAGATGAAAATCATGTTTTTCTCATCGTTCAAAAACTGTAAGAAGTGAATACATCAAAAGCTAAAATATACTAAAAAGAAAATGATCGATACATTGCAACAAGTAGTAGTGATTTTTTACCATTCACTGCCTATTCTGTTTTATATTTATTCTATGACAAAACATTTTATTTATTTCTACAACAGTTTTCGCTGTTGTTTTAATTGTACAATTATTCTTAGTATTGAACAATTTGATGAATGTTCTACAGTTTATTCCACGTGGTAAAACAATATCGTTGTAAGTATAGCCACCTGAACATGTGCGACATCTTAACGCAGAAATACTTTCGAATGTCCTGATTAGTAAATTTGATTCATGCAATCAATGATTAGTTACTGCTACTATTATTGACATTTACATGCTAGCTCTTTTAACATGTAGTGTAATGATGACAGCTGCAAAAAAAAAATTTTTCCTTTCCACTTGTACTAAAAAGATATAGAAAAAAATACATTGTCATGTTAAACGGGCATACTCAACAAGATACTAATGAGATTGACGCAACGAATGGATTATTTTCAATGGACGACCTATGTGAATTTGACATGGGCAAATATACAGTGAAAATGCTCACAGGTTCAGATCGTCTTTATAAATTAAAAACTGATCGTCATGCTCGATTAATGGATTCCATGGCAATGTATAGAAAAGAAAAACGTTTTTGTGATGTTGTTCTATGCGTTCAAGGTGTACAATATCCAGCACATAAAGTTGTTTTAGCATCCGTATCATCGTATTTTGCTTCGATGTTCGGTCAATCTGGTCATATTGAAGCATTTACAACAGAAGACATCGATTTAACTAAATTGGTGCCTTGTCCTTGCGCAATGAATATGATATTGGATTTTATGTATACATCGCGAATAAAACTTGACGATAAATCGGTATGTAAAGAAGGGAGAGTTTTTGTTGAAATTCTAAAACCATAACTTAAACTAATAATAATTTTAAGTCGAGTAAATTCATATGTTCTTATTCTCTGTTTGCTAACAAACACTTGATTTTCAAGAGGTTAAGTGAATGAGAGAATGCTCTATTCAACCTTCAACTCATGGAATACGCCTAGTAATTCATGAGTTGTTTTTAGAAGAAGACTTAGGCTGACAAACTAAATAAAATCTATAGAAGTATAGATTTCAGTTGAACAAACGCTTGTCTATTGTTTTTTTTTTGAAAAAAGTAGGATCAAATTTTAATTATAAAAATGTAACTAGAAGCTAGTAACGATGAATTAAAAATTACCGTGATGGATTCAATCGGCTTCAGGCGCCACTAATTGATAATTGTATGAAAACTTAAAAATTTGTCTGATGTAAAAATTCGCGAGAAACCTTCGTCTATATCATTGTTTGCTCGTGTTACATATAATAACTTACAAAATTTTCGTAAAATATTGTTTTGCTAACAAAAAAAGTAACTTTGCAATATTTCATATATGCAAATAGATAAATATTATTTTTCTCTTTTTTTGCGAGTTGTCCGATAACATTTAGACTGCCAACGAAAACTTATTGACATTCCTCCTTACGTTATGATAGGTATCACGTCAGATGTCTCTGATGCTAGGATATAAGTTTAATTAAACGAAAATTTTTTTTTCTTTTTATTAGGTTATGCCTATATTAACATGTTCAATTCCATTATTACTGGATGATTTAACTGAATTGTGCATTGCTTATCTTCGTGATAGTTTACATGCATCAAATTGCGTTGGATTACTATTGTATGGTAAACAATATTTGTGTTATCCTTTAATTGAAGCAGCTGAAAATTATATTTTCGAACATTTTGAAGAAGTTGTAAGACATGAAGAGTTTCTTTCTTTAAGTTCTGCTGATTTATTCGCAGTAATTAAACATGATGAAGTCAAAGTGGAATGTGAATCAATTATATATAATGTAAATATTTGTTTCGTATAATTTAAAAAGAAATAATCTTTAGGATCTTTATTTATTAGGCAGTTATGCAATGGGTTCGACATAATCCGTTAGATAGACGTGCAGAACTTGCAGAACTATTTCCATGTATACGTTTTCAGCTTCTTGAACCGTCATTTCTTAAAAAAGCTATGACCTGTGATGATTTTTCACAGCCTGATATGGAACCGTATCGAGACTACTTGTCAAATGTGCATGAAAAACTTATATCACATCGATATTGTCGTTTACCACCGCGCCGTGCGCCCATTAAGCCACTTGTTATTTGTAAATCAATCGAAAACAACCAAAGTTAATTATTTCAATCTATTTTCAATTTGTTTTTCTGTAGATTGTGCTGGTGGTTATTATAAGAAATCAATTAGTACTATGGAATGTTACTTTTTAGAAACAAAAACATGGAAGCAATGTGCAGATTTACGAGTACCAAGAAGTGGTGTTGGTGTTATTTCACTGCATATGAGAGTTTATGTGATTGGTGGACGACTTAATACGAAGTAAGTAAAAATTCAAAAATAAAAACCAGCAAACAAAATTTTTTTCTCAAATGATTGATGCGAATTTTATTGATCAGAATATAAATTCTTTTTATGGTTTTCTCTCCTTACAGAAACGAAAATAAAGATTGCAGCGATGTTGAGCGTTATGATCCATTTATGAACAAGTGGACATCCGTGCCGTCAATGATTTACGCTCGAAATCGTTTGGGTGTGGGTGCTATTGATTGTAATATTTATGCTGTTGGCGGCTCATGTGGCCAACAAATATATTCATCTGTTGAAGTTTATGCAGCAGCAGCGCCACCATCATCTCCTCAATCTTGGGTAGAAGTAGCTCCGATGCATGTTCCACGTATTGGTCTTGCTGTATGTACACATAGTCGACTTATGTACGCGATTGGTGGTTTCGATGGACATCGACGATTAGCAGAAGTTGAATCTTATAATCCTGATACAAATATATGGACACCCGAACAACCACTTCGTATTGGCAGATCCGGTGCAGCCGCTGCTTCCCTCGGTGCATGTATATATGTCGTTGGTGGCTATGCCTCGGATATCAATGAAGGACCCTTACAACTTGATTCTGTCGAACAATATAATACATTAACTCAACAATGGACTTTGGTAAAATCAATGAATTGTCGTCGATCAGCACTTAGCTGTGTTACGTTAGATAACCGCCTATTTGCCTTAGGTAAAAATCTATATTGATTGCTTTTCGAAATGACGATTTTTCTTTGCTAATGTTTAGGTGGTTATGATGGAAAAAATTTTTCGTTGGTTGTTGAAATTTATGATCCAGATAAAGATGAATGGACTCCAGGAACATCTCTAACACGAGAGCGAAGTGGCCATGGTAGTGCACTGACTGTTGAACCAACATTAGAAATTGATCAATAATAATATAAAACGAACCAATTTATTTATTTTTTTTACTTTGTACTGTTAATAACTAGATGAAACCAGCATAAGAAAACAAAAACTTCTGCTGTGCTTTACTTGTCGTATGTTCAGCTAGCGAAGAAATAGTTGATTAAAACGAATAGTAAGAACAAGGCTGCTCAATTAGTTCGTTGAATTAATAAATCACTCTTCGTTCATTGTAAAAGCAAAAAATCAACGCGTTTCTCCTCCTAAATGGATAATTTGAATTGAAAGGTTGGGTCCATACATATATGAATAACCTAGTTATGTCGTAACTGATTGGTGTTGAATGTTGAATATTTGATACGATTCACAGACGTATTGAGATATTTTTCTATTGAGACTCCACAGTGGCACGCTGGCAATGCTATACATTATTTTATTTGCAAATAGCAACTTTATCTTTATTGACATCATCCGTAAGCACTAAAATATACAAAAAGGAAAATTATTGATAAGCGCCTGTCGACAATGTTTTTCATAAATCAAAATTGTACTTCATCTGCTATGCATTTCTAAGTGTTTTGAAATCCAGTATGTGCTTTGTGGTATTATTTTTGCTGAGATCTAATGAGCAGTTTACTGAATTTCTAGCTTTTATTTTTCTCCCTGGCGTCGAAACTGACAACTCTTAAAGTACTGAAAACAGCTGGCTTGATTTTCTGGCTGTGAAATGTGTCGTTTTAAAGTCATTACATATAATACTAAGTTATATACTGACTTTTTTTAGAAGTATTACTGTATATATTATTTTGGACACAGTAAGGGTAAGCAATTTTCCATTAAATTATTTTAACTACGCATTATACATACTATATGGATTCTGTATTCAGATTACAGCCTCGAAATCCCTCAAGAAGAATGTAGATTTAAGCTTCTCTTTGATAATTGCATGTTATTTGTCAGTTAGAATATCTTGACTGATTTTGATAATCGAAATCACATCTATGTTCCAGTTACATCGCATCGTATGCTATTTTCTCCAGTGTTAATTAGTGCTTAATCGAATTTATTTTATGATAGCCATATTAGTACATGTTAAATCGGTCTCGTCAACATCATTGTTATTATTAAAAAAAAATAATTTCACATCAACCGTGGCGTTAGTAAAACAGAAGCAGATTTATCCAGATAATTTTACTTGAATTCGTACATTACTCATGTACTACATCATATGATTGTTAAGGGGTTTTCCCTCTCAAAACAAATTAATAGGCGACCACATATATTCATCGATATTTAAAAACATAGATCAATACATGTATGTAGATACCCAAAAAGAATCAGTAGCATATATTGTTTGTTTGTTTATTATTTCCTAATGCAACACGGTAAAATATATTTTGTTCTCTAGTGATAGATTCTTATTTCGTGCCATATTTCATAGACTGCATACGAATATGCAGTGTGCAAAAGAATTTTATGAACATTCTATTCTTCGTTTCTTGCAGGTAATATTAGTGATCAGCAATCGATTATATCTTCACGTCTAACAATGAGTGAAATACTTGATGATATCTGGAAGGATGAAGAATCATTTATGCCGAAATTTGATCCCAGTGCATTGTTAAAATCTCAAGATTTCGACAAAAAACTTGATGAAGTAATTGCATTGTTACCTTTATATTGGTTCATGGGCAAAAATTGAAAAATTAGAATATGTTTTTACAGCAGCTCTTTTTGAAAACTTAGAAAAAAACTATTTAAATGCTTTTTTCGTCATGATACGACGTTTTGATCAATTTTAAGATCTTTATCAAGCATGAAACCAAGTAGCAGGGTTACTCGCTGGGCGGCAAAATGATAAGATTAAGAATGATAACAATATTAATAAGTTATAGGAAGAGAGATAGTTGATGAGTATTTAACAAAAGTAATGACAAAAGCACAAAAGTGATTACATAGCAAACAAAATAGAAATTGACAAATTATAAAAGTGCAGCAGAACTAAGTAAGAGGCGAGGCAATAGGTGAGTATGAGTATATGACAACAATAACGAAATTTTCACATTGCAAATAAAATGCAAGCTGACAAATTATAGTCGAACTATATAAGAAGAGACATGAGAGTATTCTATACGCAATGTTTACAAAGCAGTCAGAGCCAGAAATATTGCGTGATGCAATTACAATCTGAAATGAGAAAATCAATTAGAGTGTGGGTGTGGGCGAAGAGAAGATACACCCCACACCCACACCCTCCTATTTGTATTCACAAGGATGTTTGAGTTTAGGGTGCAAGCTTGAAGAATAATTTGTATTTTCTTCCTTTGACAAATCTGAGTGAAGAGTCAACAGAGCTTCAATATATTAACATTTCCGGCTATCTTTATTTTCTATCATTTTGTACACAAATCTCGCAGACATGTTCGACATGAGCTGTGTGAAACATGAATAATATGATTCAGTTTAAAACAGAGTAGTTTTAAAAAAGGATCAATCAAATATAAGACATTTTTTAAGCGTTCTACCAAAATTCGTGATGAATATTTCTTTCCTCTAGAAATTTTCCTTATTTGCTCGTTGAAAACTATCAATCCCTAATTTTTCTAATTACAGGATTCACACCGAACCATCTTTAAAAAGTTGTCTCCATCGATCTAAGTCGTAAAAAGGTTTTTCTTGTACATTTGAAAAAAATAAATACTGATCGATTTCATTACATTCAAGAGTGACTCATCATTTGTCTTATTTAAATAACTGGTTACTATGTAATCGCGAATGTCGTCATTATGCATCCACGTAAATGTTTTGTTCTAAATTTAAAAATGATGCTTTCCTATATCGCTTCTTTGTATATCTATAGTATCGATTCGTCCGCACCACGCTGGTCTTGATTCATTTTCTGGTCAGTCCGCTGATGTAGCTTCACATGAATTTAAATCAGATACTTTTCTACGTGTTGCCATGTCAGTTTTACCTGTCGCAGCTGTACTTAGTTATCAAATCGATGCCATATGGCAATTACAAATTCGTAATATGTATGCTGGTTTATCAAGTACTATTCTTCATATATTTTACTTTCTTCAATTCTACATACATCTCAAAGGTAGTTCAAAAACAATAGCCAATATTTATACATATGTTTATCATATTATAATCTGGATTTTTAAAGTAAAATTTTTCATACATCGCTGAACACATAAAATTCCATGCATGCTGCTTTTCTAGACCGGTGGCAACATTACTTATTTTCTATATCATTATCGCGAAAAAAATATATTTCATCAATGCATATTCGCACTGAGAACTTTACAGGATACAATCTTCATAAGTTTTCTATGTATCTATAAAATTCGTGCCTATGAACCCCTTATTTGTGTTCAGCATAAAGTTTTATTCAGTGTTATATCACGTCTTGAAATAATCTTAGCAATACTTGTACCAATATTTGCTCAAGAAAATCTTGTTAAAAGAACTGTAGCTAATATAAGTTTATTTATATTATACGATTTTTTTTCTGTTTATTATCATCTATTCACACTTCGGTTAAAATGGGCACTCTGGCTTTTTGTTGTTTTTATGACGATAAGTGTTGCAAATGAATGGTTATATTTTGTCAATCATCAATGGAATCTGTGCGATCAAATCAGTGCTGGCTTTGAATTACTTGCGGAATGTGCTTGTTGTTTACTTATTATTTGGCAATTCAGATCACCGATGACACTATTATCATCCGATCAGTCACTAACAGGCTTTTGACATAAATCTAGAACAATTACTTGTAAATATAATGAATAAACAAAATAAAATCTTTGATAAAAATTTCTTCATTCATTTTTTGTAATTACATAATAGTGATGTAAGTATACATTATAATGTTAAAAGTTATATAAATTGCTGTTATTTGATAACAAAAGACTTTTTGTTTTTATAAAACGTGAATTTGCGACACCTTCTGGATTTGACAACTAAAGAATAGTAATGTTAACCAATATGATTTTTATTAATAAACAACGGTTTGCAAAATATCTAGTATACTATTTATTATAGTCAATGTCTCGTCTTCGTCTTTTACATTATGATAAACAAGTAGAGATCAATGTTGATGAAAAAATCGATTTTAATCATCTATTTATTGCAGCAACATATCGTCAATTAATATTAGCATCACAATCTATTTTGACTATTTATGATCTTTCTTCGATTCTTCTCGGTGAAAACTTCAACAGTCCATATCAAACAATCATTACGCCAAATCCTATTCTTGCTCTAACATCAACAGCTGATCGAATTATTTATGTCTATCATTCATTAGATAATTTTGAACAATTAAAAATATGTATTCTAAATTCGAAACAAGAAGAACAAAGTTTAACAATTGAATCATTAAATGTCGATTCGAAAATTCATTTATGTTCACTTGATGATGGAACTATTTTTATTGGATATAATTCGAAAATATTTTCATTAACAAATGAGCAATGGTCATTGGATTCGAAAATTATAAAAATGTGTAGTGGAAAAGAACATGTTTTAGTTTTGCTTGCTGATGGCCGAATTCTTTCCTGGGGCAATGGTCTTCATGGTGCACTTGGCCTTGGTGATCTTGAACCAAGTCTTCAACCTACGCAAGTTGAATCATTATCAAATGATGTTATTGATATAGCTGCTGGTGGATGGCATTCATTAGGTTGAATAGGATTAAAAAAGAAATTTATTCAGCAAGAAGAAGAAAATTTTCGTTTTTCTTTCCATTTAGTTCTTCTTGCAGATGGTTCAGCAATGTCTTGGGGTTGGAATAATGACGGTGCACTTGGTCTGGATACTTCTGATGAGGATAATATAGCAGGTGTATTTTGTGATCCAACACTCGTAACTTGTTTACCATTAGATATCGATTGCAAATATGTATCAGCTGGTGCAAGACATAGCGCTTTTATTGGATCAAATGATTATGTATGGTTATGTGGTTCGAATAAACATGGTCAATTAGGGACTCCATCGTCGTTTTCTATTGAAAAAGGAACTATTGTCCATTGTCTATCTTGGTTTACTTTGTTAATTTCTCAGGAAATTTGATGTGAAAGTAAAAGTTATAGGTCGTTCATTTTTTTTTCAGATGGATGAGGATGATCTTCGACCACCAGAAATTCGCTCATTAGCTGGAACTACACGTCATCGTTTATGTGCTGGACAAGTTTGTGTTAGTGTTGCTTCGTGCATTAAAGAATTAATAGAAAATAGTCTCGATGCGAACAGCACACGTTTACAATTGACATTTATAGCACATGGTGCAGATCTTATTGAACTTGTCGATAATGGCGATGGTATTGCTGAACATGATTTTGAAAAAATTGGTTTGTCACAAAGAAAAAACTTTTATTTTATATTTAAAAAAATTGGCTTTCAGGGCTACGATATCATACATCGAAAATAAGTCAATTTGAAGATCTTCAATATGTGAATACATATGGATTTCGAGGTGAAGCGTTATCATCGATGTGTATTTATGCGTAAATATTATTTTACTTTTGTTTTTTTTTCTTTTCGTTAAATATAGATACTGTTTAGTGATGTAACTATTTTGACACGTCATGCATCAGCATCAATAGGAACAAAATTAATATTCGATTGTGAAGGTCAAGTTATGTCGCGTACTCCTTGTCCGCGTGAAGTAAAATCCATCTTGATTTTTCTTCTGAATTGTAACTTTATTTATAAAATTAGATTGGTACGACAGTGTCAATTCGTTCGTTATTTAATCGTTTTCCTGTTCGTCGCACTGAATTACGTTCTCGTTCAAAACGAGAATTTTCTCAAGCTTTAAATGTCATCCAATCATTCGCTATTATATCACGGCAAGTTCAATTTTTTCAAGTATTATCATCATCAGATAATCATCCACCCACAACTCCATTATTAACATTAACACCATCAACGTCATTAAAAGATACATTGGCACAACTATTTGGATCGAAAATACTTGAGAGTATTATACATATTGATGATAATAATGATGATGAAAATAGAGAATTTAAAGTAAATTGATAGAGTCCATTTTTTGTTTTTTCATCATTCGACATCTTCCGATTTAGTTCGATGGTTTTATTTCTCGACCTCAACATGGTTCTGGTCGTTCATCAACTGATCGACAATATCTCTATGTAAATAATCGACCTATTGATTGTGCACCTTTATTACGTACAATCAATGATATCTATCGACATTTCAATCCAAATCAATATCCACTTGCTGTATTAATTATTGAAGTACTCGATCGAAGTACATTAGATATAAATTGTACACCAGATAAACGAACAATTTTTATTGAACATTTATCAAATATTTGCGATCAAATTCGAACTATTCTTAATAGATTATTTGAAAAAAGTAGTAATGTCTATGTTGTATCGAATAAACGTCCACAAGAAACAACGGAAAATAATGATACTCTAGTACCACCAGTGAAACAAATAAGAATTGATCGTTTTGTTAAAAGGCCTGTAAGACAAAATAAAAATTTCAATTTACTGAAAGAAAGAAATTTTTTTGTAAAACTTATAGTCATCTTCTGACATTCCAATATTAACCACGAGTAATCCATTATCGAAATTTTCCTGCCCATTCAATACGGTATTTGGTTCGAAATGATACAATTTGTTTTCTTTGAATTGATATTGACTTTAGATTCGTAGTGAAAAAACAAGTTCATCTTCATCAAATTTATCAACACAAGATCGAGCATTATTCACATTTGAATTACATCCTATTGCAAAGAGTACTCAAAATAATGAAAAAGACAAAAAAGTTGACGAAGTAGCAGAGGAAGAAGAAGAAGAAGAAGAGGACGAAGAAGAAGAAGAAGATGAAGATCCACGCGTTTCTACCTTAATACATGGTAGTCCATCGAAAAAAGATTTTCTTGATAAATTAAAAGCACTTAAACAGAGTGATATAAAAGAAGGAGACGACATGGAAATAATACTGTCTACTGATCATGACTTACAATCGTATCATACATCAACACCAGCTGTTAAAGAAAACCCGAAATCAGTCGAACAATCTGAAAGTATAGTAAGTATATATTACTTTTCAATGAATTAATAAGAATATGAATGCAATTCATTCAATATCTACAAGAAATCTTGATTGTAATAGAATCTTTTTTTTTTCGTGATTTCAATTCGAAACGTATTTTACCAAAGGTTAATATTGTTTGCTTCGTTTTTAGAAAGTAACATCATATAAATCGTGTGAAATCAAAGTTAAATTTAATATGAAAAAGCTCAAAGAAAAATATCGATCAATGTCTGCAAAACAAGATATGCCATCGGTAATATCGGATCATCGTTTTAATATTCATATTGAAGAAGATCAAAATGAAGAAGCTGAAGATGAATTAAGAAGACAAATTGATAAAACTGATTTTGAAAGGTTCCTATAATTTCTATTTATCGTTGATATCAAAGTAACAAGTTAGATTTTTTTTGATTCATAATAGAATGTCTATCATTGGTCAATTTAATCGTGGCTTTGTACTTGTCACACTCGTTGATCATTCATCACAATTATTTATTGTTGATCAACATGCAGCTGATGAAATTTATAATTTTCATCGTCTCTATGAACATACAACTATTAGTCGACAGCCACTTGTCCATCCAAAATCAATACCACTTGATCCATCTCGACAAGTTCTTCTTCAACAACATTTAGCTTTATTTAATCGACTTGGGTAATTGATTAGAAGTTACATAGAAACTTTTTTATTTTATTCGAATTTTAGATTTGATATTGAAATTGACGAAAATGAAACACGCATTGATCGTCGCTGTCGTGTTCTGTCCTATCCAACAGTATCCGGTGCTCATTCATGTGTATTTGGTATTGATGAAATAGAGGAAATACTTTCACATTTAACGGATACAACTCAAAAAGCATGCCAAGAAGAACAACATTATGAATCCTCTCGATTGAGAAAAGTATTTGCATCAAAAGCTTGTCGAATGTCAATTATGATTGGTACTGATTTAACACGAAAACAAATGATAAATGTGGTTCGACATCTTGGTCATTTAACTAAACCATGGGTAAACAAAAACTTATACGTATACTTACTCTCGTCGTGTTTGAATTTCCTGTTTAGAATTGTCCTCACGGAAGACCTACAATTCGACATGTATCTAATCTTAGTGAGGCTACTAAAAGCTTTGTTCCTGATGGCTATCACTCGTTCTAAACAAGATTTTTATGATTGTATGCGTTTTATAACAAAATCAAGAACAGATTTTATGTATAGACTTATTTATTGAGTGGTTTATATCACAGATGAAAATAAATAAATAACTACAAGAGAGAGAATAAAGAGTTCTCACTTGAGGATCGAATTTTTTTTTATAAGGATTGAACCATATAGCATGAACTGCTTAAAATACGCAGTATAGTAGGACGCTTGTATGTTTGTTTGTTTGCTTTTTTTCTATCACAAAGCCTATCAAATTATCTAACATACTTTTAAGGAAATATTTACTGTTTACTTTCATGGCACAAGTTTTGAAGCGTGAATTTCAACATTTTCCTAATGAAAATTGATGCTGTTTCTTATCAATGCGTAAAGGCCACGCGAAGGATCAACTATGGGGTGATGTAAAGAGTTTTGTTCAAGAAAAGCTTACAGAAAAAGAGTCATTAATATTTTCACTGGAAAAAACTAAAAGGTTCGGTTATGACGGATTTTACATCGCTGGTTCAGCGACTCCTGGTTGTTTCACTAACGAGGGAAGGGCTCCAATTGTCCAATCGTTTTTTCCTGGAAAATGAGTGGGTTGTAGGTAGTTCAGCATGCTGATTCCGAATATCATAATCATTTGGGCCGCTAGTCATTTATTATCCCAATTTTGGGAAAAGCCTGTTGTCTAGCGAGAAATTTTTTTGGTGAGATATCCGATGTTGAATGCCAACTAAGATTGCTTTTCACCAAATCACACAAACAATCTACAATATTCACAGGACTCATCACTCTTACGATATCAAAATACGTATAGAATCAAGGAAAAAAATGTAACAATAATGAGTTACTTACCTTGCAAATGTTGACAGATCTTTAATAATAGAGGATACTATGTACTATTACGTCGGTGAATGCATCTAAAATAATATAAGATCGTAAACCTAAAATGTAGAAGAAAGGGATTTAGTGTGACTATTATCAGTGAAAACACGAAGAAAAACCGTTGAAATCTTTGATTCAATAGGATTACAACGCCCATGGTGCCCCCAGTAATCGTTCTAGCAATGAACTAAATATGGTTGTGTGGGTTTTGCGATCTCCTCTTCCATGTGAAAACATTAGAAAATGATTTTTCCGAAAAAACGTTTTTCACTGGAAAACAGGCTTTTCTCAAAATTGGGATAATAAATGGCTGACGGCCCAAATGATTATGATATTCGGAATCAGCATGCTGAACTACCTACAACCGACTCATTTTCCAGGAAAAAATGATTGGACAGCTGGGGTACTTCCCTCGTAAGACAGAAAATGAGATCGGTCACATTCATTCAATATTCAAATGATAGATATGATATAGAATCATTTGCAATTCAGGATAAAAGCAGTAAATCATTCCCTTTCGATATACTAAAACCTACAAAGTTGATTCAAAGTAGCTATGATTTATGCAAAGTGCCATCTTATAAGCAATCCCAGTATGTATATGTTAGCGTCCAAACTGAGATTACGTCCAATCTCAGATTAGCCTAGGAGAATCTCGAATCGGAGATTGGACGCGTCCAATGTCGGATTGAGCGGAAATTTAACATTAAGACGTGAATTACTCTGTTGTACATCGGCATAGAACTCGATTTTCTACTTATGAACTTCGATGAAGTATCATCATATCAGGTAACGTAATCATCAATAAACGAATAAATTAAAGGCTCGAGGAGTTATGGATACTTTTCAATCTTGAGGATGAGGGTGTGAGGGTATGGGTTATCCTGATCATAACTCATCAATAAGAATTTGAATCCTATACCGATGTTCATAGTAGTTCACGTTTTAATGTTAAATTTCCGCTCAATTCGACATTGGACGCGCCCAATCTCAGTTTGGACCGTAACATATATATGTGTGATATCAAATGTTACAATAAAATATCTCTTGAAGGATAAAATTGCTACTCGTAGTGCTTGTACTGATCGATCGAATGTACATTTTCTGAACTAAAATATTAGTTATTTGTGTTTTTAATCATTTTGCAGTTTCACTAGAAAATTATCAAATATATAATTGTAGTACTCTCTGCTTTGATCTATCTGTTATGAAACAGAATTTGAGTTAACTTTATACGATCTTCAAATTCTCTATTAGATTGATGACGGAAGATAAGCATATTCATTTGTATTCTTTCATGTTCTGGATGTCTTATGTTAGTTCTTTTTTATCAAATATATATAAATGCAGTTCTATATAAACTAAATCTTTTCTCAGTAATATACGTATATCTACGAGTTGTCGCGAAGTATTCAAATGTCTCATAGCGACCTCTAGTCCACAGTTGTTATTCTAATGGATAATAATCAATATCGAATAAATAAACCGATTCGGCCTGTCTGTCTGCACGTATGTCTGTTTCTTTTCTAGTGTCAGCATCACTGTACCCGTTCTTACTCACTAATTGCTCACCGACCTTGTTTTTGGTTTATTTGATTTCGCTCAACAATGACTTCCCCATCGAATGGACCATTATCTTTACGTGATCATCATATAGGTTCGTCTGTTCTGTGACATATTTTCAATAGAGATAGATAAATCAATCATACATATGTTTGTAGCTGCAATCAAACAAATTCTCAATCTAAATATTTCTCCATCTGCTACAGTAGATACAGCTTGGAAAGTTCTTATTTATGATGAATTAGGTCAAGATATTATTGCTCCATTGTTTACTGTAAAAGAACTGCATGATCTTGGTGTCACACTACACTTGTAAGTGTTTTCGAAAAGGAAATCGAGATCAATCTTTTGTTTAGATCATTAAAATCAGATCGTGAGCCAGTCGATGAAATTGCTGCTGTTTATTTTGTTATGCCTACCAAAGATAGTATATCGTGCATTGGAAAAGTAAAAATTCATGGATAGAATTTTGAGAATATATATTTATTGAGAATGTAGGATTTAGCCGAGGGTTTATATGAATCGTACTATTTGAATTTTATTGCACCAATTCCAGATGATCTCCTTGGTGAGTTAGCTACGGATGCACTTGAATCAAATTCTCAACAAGCTATAACTAAAGTAACAAAGAAAAAAACGAGCCGTTCTTGTATTTAGCATTTGAATGATTTATTTTTCATCTAGATCTACAATCAGTATCTTGATTTTATTACACTCGAAGATGATCTATTTTGTTTACGACAAGCAGGCAAAGATAGTATTTCTTATTATGGTAACTGAGCCATAATTTGAGAGAAATAAATATCTAAGTTCGGAGTTTCAGCTCTTAATCATCCACCGACGATACGTGATATTGATACAAAAGAAATTATTGAAACCATTGCTGATTGTCTCTTTTCTGTCTGTGCTACACTCGGTATGAAATAAAGTTATTCTATATAGATTAAATATATTTGATTCTGTTCTACATTAGGTTCAGTACCAATTATCCGATGTCCAAAAGGTGAAATGGCTGAAATTATCGGAGAGGTTTGTTATAATTATTAAAGAAATAAATATCGATTTCTTTTTTTGTTTTAGAGACTTTATAAAAAAATACGAGAGAATTTATGTGATCATCGAAATAGTCTGTTTTCATTTGATTCAATAAATATGGAAACCTTGAGGTTCGACAACGTTTTATATGTTGTGTGAAGATTTTAAAAATTGATTTTTATCTATTCAGTTTTCAACGGCCAGTTCTTGTCATATTGGATCGAAGTATTGATTTAGCATCTCTTCTTCATCATACCTGGACTTATCAAGCATTAGCTCATGATATTTTAGTAAGTAAATACTGCAAAAATAAACAACATTTGAAAAAAACGAAACGAAAACTATAGGATTTCAAATCGAATCGAGTCGAAATTGAAGAAGTCAATGAATCTATTGTATTGAATGATGGACAACATCCAACGAAACGACGTTCTTATGATTTAATGCCAACAGATAAATTTTGGAAACAACAAAAAGGAAAGTTAGTAAAAGTATTTGGAATGAAATCTTTTGATTTTTTTTTATAACTTTTGATGCTGTTTCTAGTCCTTTCCCTATTGTTGCTGAATCGATCCAAGAAGAACTTGAACGATATCGACAATCAGAAGAAGAAGTTAAACGACTTAAAACAGCCATGGTTTGTTTCTGATTAAGATTTCGTATTAGAGAATGATTTTATTTTGTCGTAGGGTATCGAGGGTGATCCGCAAGATTTAGCTTCCAGTCAATTGAATGATATGACAAGTAAATTAACAAGTGCAGTTAGTTCTTTACCAGAACTATTAGAGAGAAAAAAATTACTTGATGCACATACAAATATAGCAACTGCTCTTCTTGACCAAATCAAAGCAAATTAAATTTTTATTTGATTACTTAACTATTAGTTTTGTTTTTTTCAAATAGAAACGTAAACTGGATATTTTCTTTGAAACAGAAGAAAAAATAATGGCTAAACAAGTTCAAGTAAATTCCAATTCATATTCCTTTATTGTTATTTTATTGTTAATATTAAAATAGGAAAAAATCCTTATAGAAATTCTTTCTGATCCAGCAGGTAAGATCAGAATAATAAAAATAAATCAATCTAATAGATTTTTACTAGCCGGTACACCGGAAGATAAACTTCGTCTATTTCTAATTCATTATATCTGTACACCAATGATGACACAAGTATAGAGAATGAATTCTATCGTCAACATTTAATACTATTTTCATTTAGACTGAACTCGATCAATATCTAACAATCCTTCGAGAAGTAAATTGTGCATGTCTAGATGCTATTACATATATTAAACGTTGGAAATCAATTAATAACATGAATGTTGATACACAAGAAAGAGAAGGTGGAACAACAACAATGGGGTGAGGAAATAAAAAAAAGAGGCTGTCCGATTCAGATATTTAAGAGAGGGTCCGCGGAACCACTTAGCAACTTTACTAGGAGTCGGTCGTCGGTAAACTTTTGATTTTCGATTTAACTATCAAAAATGGAAGATCTAGTCAAACCATAAGTGAATTCAAAATATCAGGTCTTTCTGATGTGCCGGAGAACAATGCCAGCGTTTGCAANATTAAATACAAGGTTAGTTCAACTAAAACTCTATCCCTTGAGGTGCTCCAGAAGTCAAACGAATGAGCAGAAGCGGAGAAAAATACAAAATACAATGCACAACCTAGAAACTTCACTTTTTGACCAAATGTAAATGGTATATAACTTGCAAACGCTGGCATTGTTCTCCGGCACATCAGAAAGACCTGATATTTTGAATTCACTTATGGTTTGACTAGATCTTCCATTTTTGATAGTTAAATCGAAAATCAAAAGTTTACCGACGACCCACTCCTAGTAAAGTTGCTAAGTGGTTCCGCGGACCTTCTCTTAAAATATAGCGAGAGAACTTTGACAGTTAATCGTATGCGTTATTAATCTTAAATAAATTGTGTTTTGTTTTCTTATAGAATGTTTTCAAATTTAGTCAATAAAGCTTCAAAATTTGCTATGGATGGCGTTAAAAATCTTGTTGTCAAACAATATGTGAGTGCATTGGTTTCGTTGATGTTTCACTTATGTGTATTTATTCTAGAAATTACCGGTAACAAAAATAGTTGATAGCCTTATGGAAAATCGTTCTTCACCTGAAACAGATGGTTATCGTTATTTCGATCCAACACTTCGATCAGCCGACACGTAAATAGAAAATTTGTTTTACTAAAAATGAAAATAATCGGTCTGAGAAGAAATATTTTTCACTTTAATATTTTAGTGTGTGTAGTGCTCGTTATCGTCAAGGTTTTAATGATGCTATTGTGTTTATGATTGGTGGTGGAAATTATATTGAATATCAAAATTTACAAGAATATCTACAAGATTATGCTAAGACTCGATCATCAACAACAACAAAACGAATTATTTATGGATGCACGGAAATCGTAAATGCTTCTCAATTTGTTGAACAAGTAATTGAAAAACATTTTTTTTTGGCTATGATTAACTGTTTTAGTTTTTTTTTCGTTATAGCTTACAAAATTGGGTCAATGATAATTATTAGTAGTAGAATTAAATTTTTTTTTGATCTTTTTTGTTAATAAATTATTTGAATTGTTTTTGTTTTATTTGATTGTTAAATTTAAAATTTTTTAGATTCATACTTCATTTGTTTTATTTTTTGCACAATGGTGAGTTATCGATATAATTAATCACTTCATTTAATTCTTGCTTATTTTAGTCGAAGAATTTTAAAGAAGAAGAAATTGATAGTAAGTTCGTAAATTAATATTATGGACATTTCATTTATTTATTTATTGATAGACTTTCGGCAATGCTTTCAATTATTCGCTCCGCAAGGCTTTGTTGATACACCGGATAAATTATGTTTCATCATGCGATCATTGAGCATGGCACCGACAATAGCTGAACTGAAACGTTACTTTGCTAAGTATAAAAAAGGTATATAACATAGATAAAACTTCGTAGAATATCATTTGTTATGACGATTATTTTATAGATGCTGGCGTTGTTGAATTTGATGATTTTCTTAAAATTGTTTGGGAACATCGATCAACAGAAAATGCACCCAACGAAATTTCAGCAGCATTTCAAAATTATGATACACAACGACTTGGTTATATTGATTCGAAACAATTGAGATATATTTTAACTAATACAGGCGAAAAATTGACTGATAGAGATGGTGAGTGAAAATAAAAGCGATTTAATAATCATTTATTAATATATTACTCTTGTTAGTTGATCTTATACTACGCGAATTAAATGTTGGATCTGACGGTCGTGTTTTTTATGATAATCTTGTTCAAATGTTAACACAGCCATTAGCGGGACGACGTTAAATAAACAATTCTATATCTGACATTCCAATCAAATCTAATATTTCAAAAACTAACATTGAAAGCAATGTTCTCGGGGTTACTAATAAAAATTTTCAATTTTTCTTTTACATTGTCATACCTTTGGAATATTGTCTTATAATAAATTAACTTTTTATGACATATAGGCAACGAGTAAAATAACTAATTCTCATGAATAAATATTTCTTCTAACTAACTTCTCAATATCATCATGTCGTAATTTTTCTCCAAGAACCTATACTAAGTTTTGCTATAAAGTGCTAAGCATGAGTATTGGACAAGCGATAATCTGAGACTCCAACATGTAGAATTTCTGATTTAAGTACAACAGTATGTCTGTGAAATGAAGAAATCATTTTGTAGACTCTAAATTATATGTATATTCATCACCTAGTAATTATCTAAATAGTCAGAAATACTCAGCACCATAACAAAAGTAGTCTTTACACAAAACCTGATGTAAAAATTCCAACTCAACAAGAAGAAAACAGAGTACAAAAAATGATAACCCAAGTAGAGATGTGTTCGAGACCAGTTAACTAAAAGGAAGAAGTCAAAGAAAAGAACTTCACTTTATTGATTACTGATAATTATCAATCCCTCGGTAATTATTCAAGCTGGATAATTTGCTTTAAGCTTATAATTATTTACAGAGAAATACTCACAAACGTTCGATAATGTATAATATATTACAAAAGAAAGCACCGAGACTCATTTTTGAAGTATCAACGGTGAATATTTATTACACATACGATGAGATAAAGAAAAACAACTAGTTTTATACATTTCATTATCAAATTTTCTTCTAAAAATGCATAATAAAAATCATTATGATGACAAGATTCAACTTTCGCATAGAATGAATATCAACTAGGTTTTCATTGATTTGAATGTAATAGTCCCTCGTAAAATGACATTCGTTTCTTCCCAATGGAACCAACTTTTTCCTTCACAATGACGAATACGACTTTTTAAATTAACCTTTTTTGAATCCAAAATCACCCACATACGTATATCAACATCAAAATAATTGATATTCTTGAATAGTTTATGCCACATATTCTCATTAAAATAGTTGTCATCATCAGTATTGAAATAACCTCTTACTCGAAGAGATCGCAAGTTTGGCGCTAATTCTTTTAACATTTCAAGGTGTAAAAAATAAGCATGATCAAGATGTAGATTTAATTTCTCCAGATGAGGCAAAGCAACGTTTTGATTAGATATATCTCGAGATAATTTCATCGTTGTTTTAAGTGAATATAACTGAGGTGTAAACGACAAAAGAGAGAATAAATCAGCTGAAGTGATTGAATGGATATAAAGATGTTTTATCATTCGATTTATTGACCAATCGGAAGGTGTCATATTTGCATCAGACATATCAGAAATAAGGGTACATTTTTGTGCAGTAAACCTCTTACTGAAAATATACGCTGTTAATAGTTGCAAATTATCGATCGTGCCAACAGATTTTGCCAAGTATTTAATACGAACCTGCTTGAGAGAAGGCATTTGATCAAGTGCAAAGATAAGAAATTGAATATTCGTAGAAAGTTTCGACTTTCTTAAATAAAGGGATAAATATTGTAGACGAACGAGATATTGAGCATGCCATCGTAAAAATTGTATCAGACAATTAGCTTTTCGTCGCCCAACAGTAATTGAGTAGATATTTTCTAGATAAATATGTGACCATGTTGATTGAGGCAATTTTGCATTTGACTCATTCTGTTTAATGCGAATAAATAATTGTAAATGTGATGAACGAAGTAATGAATCAAACAATGAATTGAGACAAGAAAATGATCGAACAATATCATGTCCTTCGAGATAGGTAAATATATGTAACCATAATTCACGTGGCAAACACTCGGCTGATGATGATGTCATTTTTTTCTTTCAAGCGTATTACATAAAACTTCAAAACAACGAAAAGCAAAGGGTTTTTAATACTAAACGACAAACACAGATTCATGGCGTAATTACATGTGTCAAACAAAAAGTAGCTTAAAAGGTGACGCAAAGTGACAGTGAATCGAAATTCGATTTCATCATTCCGATCGAGATAATACTCATTTTCGAAGCTTACTGAAAACACTTTTACATAATCATATGAAGATATAGGAAGTGATCTTGGAAATAGTCTAGGTCTTAGAGTGAAATACAACGACTGGTTGGACTTAAAATGAATTTCATATATGGAAATAGTCAGCAGTGTTGAAACTTCCGAAAAAGTAAATTTTTCAGCTGAAAAAGAAATTTCTATCTCACCATTCAAACATATTCCAAGCGAATACACCATAGAAAGTAATTTTCGAACTTCCCGAAGACACAACCTAAATAAAACACCAGTGGGCAGATTTCCAAAAAGGAAATTTCCTAGCTTGATATCCATATTTCGGAAATTTCAGACCCGAAAAATTCAAGTTTTAGAAACGATCACAAACTTTCGCAACTACCGCAATATAATTCACGATGAGCCGAAACCAAAATAAAGTAATTTCCTAGAAATTTCGGTATTCATATCGAACAGATTCAGCCATGGATCTGTATATACATTTAAAGAGTCTCCCCTCTAGAACGAAAAGAACTTCTAGTAATTTTGTTGACTGCCTGGAAATTACGACGAATACAGAAATTTCTATAATTTCTATATTCATATCATATTGATTTAACAATAAATATGTATATAGATTTAAAAAACTCACTCTCATGATTCAGAAGAATTTCTAGTATTTATCGTAATTTACAGGTAATTAGCAAAATGACCAGAATTTCTTCTCATTCTTGAGGGTCGGAAATTGCAATGCGTATGTGAAACTGATTTTCGAAATTCCCAGGAAAGTTTGTTGGTAGCCAGGTATTTGAAAATATGGTATTTTCTTTCGCGTGCAATGACAATTACGGAAATTTCTGTTGGCACTCGTGTGTATCTTTTTATATTGAGAAAGAAATTTGTCAGTTGCGAAAATTTACTTTTTCGGAAATCTGAACATACCTTATTCATTGAGAATATGACCGTTGATTGTTTTTGATACTTCATTTATAGCATTGGTTCATTGTTTCGAGTTTTCTGGAGAGAACGAAGATGTTGATAGAATACAAGATAGTTTGCGAACAAAAAGCAAATATATCTTCAGTCGATCTTTTGTATGAGGTTAGAATTTTATGTTGCAATGATGAATATTTATTTCTGTAGAAGATAACCTCTTGGTAGTTCATAGTTTCAGTTAAATAGATGAAGTTAAGATTCGGACAAGAATATGTCAAAACATAGAATCATCGCGTTTTAATTTTAAACAGACAAACAAACAAAAGATAAATTTAAAGATAAAAATGATCGGTTTCGTTTTGTTAATATTCAAAGGATTATTCACTTGGATAGCGTTAAACAAAGAAAAAAATATGAATGTCTCAAGAAAGGTCTCCAACTTCTTTAATAACGATGAAGCTTTCGTATTCGTTGTACATGTCTTAATTTTACTTGAATGTTCAATGGATTAAACATGTCAGAAAATTTCGTAAACATGACAAACATTCCCAACACCTGCCTTGGAGCCATAGCACACATGTTAATCACCTGCATAATTATAAAAGACTGTTGACAGGCTTTTGCCTACAACATGTAAACATATTTAAAAAGATGAAAGAGACTCAAATTCGAACGTATGAAATATTGAGGACACATGATATTCATCGGTGATTCTATCGTCGAAACTGTTACTATTGAAATCATAGTTGTTGAAGCTAGAATAATTTACATTGAAGTAAAACGAAGTTCTAGCAGTAAAAATACTGTAACTATCCTGTCGTAAACTAATGAAATCTATGAAAAGTTCTTTGTGCAAATTCAAAGAGATAGCGATAATTTTTGTCAACATTGTATGTCAATTCATTTGTCATAATCATATTAAAAAGAATTTGTTTTTACTTATTGTAGTAGTAGGTGCACTAGTTGAAGTTGTCGTAGTTTGTGTGGATGCACCGGTGATAATAATAACATCAGTTGTTGTCAACTATCAGAAATCATTATAATCAAATGAACGATATATCAAAGAGCGTACGAGAGTATTGGCGGTAGAAGTTGATAAACCTCTGGTTGTCACTGTTCCTGTTGTAAGTGAAGTAGTTGTTGTGGTCGTTGTCGATGAAAGGCTAGGATCCCAAATGTTAAACACCTAAAGCGAAGAGCTGGTTATCGATGCAGATTCAGGACCTAAAATGATTACATTTAATTCATGTTATCATTTCGAATTTACATAACACAAAATTCTGCTCCACTAGCTACACCTAAAATCGGTAGATAAGAATATACTTCAGAAGTATTACATCGTAGAGGAAGAAGTTCATACCACTATCGAATGCTACATAGTATGAATGTCCTATAGTCCATGGTGCAATTGAAAAACGAATAACAACTGTAATCTCAGCATATGTAAATTCTGGTGCCCAACCACAACCATAGGATTGAACAAGTGTATTTGAAGTAGGATCTGTAAAATGAATATACGTACCATTACGAGTTGGACGTCCCACTGACTTTGTGGCTAAAGTGGATATAAAGATAATTAAATAGATCCTATAGCTAGTTTATATGGAAGCTTACAGAATTGCTCTTAAAAAATGAATATCAAGCGTTCAGGTCCTGAAAGTTTCACTCAATCTCTACCATTTAATCTATAATCGATCATATCTCTTCAGTAGAATCATCAAACGTAAAATTTACTTCGTATCGATCGATTAGTTTATATTTTGTTTCTTTTGTTTTCAATCAAAACTTCTGTTAAAAGTTAGGTAGAAAGTACAGTGTAAAAGTTTTTCCCTTGCATATATTATGGTTATCTATTTTGTTGATGCAGCCAGCATTCGAAATTAGTCATAGCCGGTATTTCGCAAGTGATTGAAATTACTTTGAAATGAAATGGCCGTTTGGCTTTGAAAAATAGTGCCGAGTAGTGAAACGGAACCGTGAACAACAGTTGACCGAATTATATCAGGCGATGTAAAACCAGCCAAAAAAGTGATACACCATTGTTCTGATTGAACATTTGTGCTGTCAACAGCTCCTGCACAGAAGCCTTGCGACCCATATTGATCAGCGACAGGTATCCAGCTTAGAACGATTTGATAGACACCTATATAATTAAGATATCAGGTGAAGGAAAATAAAGGAATGCCAGTTGTACTGACCAGTGCTTGGATTTTGAATGGTACCTTTAGTCATACCAATTGGGGAACTAAAAGTGAAATTAATGATAGTTTTTCTGTTACAACCAACTTGTGCGATGACGTATTCAGTGGCAGTCGATCCAATCGGGGTACCAACACAAGCTTATTGAATGAGCAATCATGATTATTTGAAGAAAAGTCCCTATAAGATTCTCTCTTACATCGATTGGGTCGGACACCGACAATGCTTGGTGGAGCACTACAACCACTGGGTGTAGTATAACCATAGAAAAGAAACACAAGTGGAACAAAACTCATAGGCATTGCTGATGAACTACTATAATAATCTTCGATTTGAACAGTCACTGCTGTATAATATACATTTAGAGGTAATGTGAATACTAATGTACAATTATTTGTGTAAAGAACCGCACCAGGTACACCCGAGCAAACGCCAGCACATTCATCATATGAATTTGTATTGTCTGATGAAGTAGCCCAACGACATTTCAATGTATCAGTTCGATCATTATCAGACATTTGAATAACATGAACATGTTGTTGATTGATCGCCTTATAGATGGCAGGAAGAGTTGTAGCCAATAGACTCGAATTTATATATCCATCAGGTCTAACGATCGCATTGATTCGACAAACAACAGCCCAGTTTCCACCGCCTCCAACAACAAGTGCTGCTAGCCAAGCACCTGAATAGAAACCTATACTGAATTGAGTATTGATCGAGTGTAAAATGATTCTCCAGAACTAACATCACGACCAACACTATAATCAGTACAGTAGATTGTTGTCGTGAAACACACTCAAGAAGAACAAGTACCAGACGCACAAAAAACATTTGCACCATTTGCAATAAGATTTCCTGAATCTATAGTTGTATCGTCGCAGTAAAAAGACGCACGACGCCACGAGTAGCGTTGACGTACTAGGAGTTGGACGTTACCAGTTGTTTGACTGTTATTCCAAGGGCGTCTAGAGAAAAGAATATTTTGCGCAGAGATTGTTGAAAAAGAGATCAGTTACTGACCGTGCAATGGTTCCACCACGAAAATGAAAAGCATACACAATAGCAATGGGTAGCAATAAAAAGACAAAAGGAAATCCGTGAATCGTCATCTATTGAAATCGAAATGAAAAACTAGTTATACTAGATAAATACTATGATAACGCGATGTTGAACTTCTTTTCTATTGTGAATAAAATTTAGATGATTTGCTTTAAAAAGAAGTATCAGTTTCATAGAAAAAAATCGATATTTTTCGAAAATTATCCTCTTCAGTTAATCCACAAGCAATCAGGCCACACTGTTTATATGTATAAAGTATAAGATTGTTTGCGAAGTACAATTTATACTGCTTCCTTAGTTTCGCAAGAAAAAAAAGTTATGTTTTATAATCATGCATTCACTTTTTTTGATGCTCAAGTTTATAGTTCTCTCTTTTTTGTCCTTCGCTTCTCTTCCTATTTTCGATTTGTGTATTGTGGAAATAAGACTAATTAAACTAAGTTTGCTTTTCACTTTTTTTAATTGGTAAATTCATTCAAATTCTTTTAGAAACATCTCTGATAGTAATTAAGAGGTTTTTCTGCAGTCTTATAAAATTTATATTTTGATCATAACATTTAAGAGGTTAAAAACATGATAAATTCAGTGAGTTAAATATGATTCAAATTTTATCCATATTATCAAACCAGTATAGCCCGGTCCGTCGATAAAATTTCAATGTAGACCACTTCTTCCTTGGCACTTTTTATTTGTATTGAGCATATAAAAGATGTTATCGGTGAAGAAAAAGGAAATTTCGACTGCAAAGTTTAGGATACAATTATAGATCTATTTTTATTCTATATGATGGGATCACGAATTTTTATCTGCTATTTTTGTCGTCAGGTATCGAGGCTCGAAAGATAATTTAGGATTTTGAATATTTTATTTTCTTGAGTAAATAAAATAACGTTCAGCTGCGATTCGAAACATTAAATTTGAAGATCATATCGCACTTGTCCATCTTAACATTCAGTCATTTTGTGAGTAGAACTTTTGATGGAACTTGCAAAAAGATATTTGTTCATGAAAATGTATTTTAGCTGGTTTCTATTACTTTTATATTAATATAGCAGAGTATTTACTTAAGAAGCTACATATTGCTTCAAGATTGTATAATTTAATAGTCGAATTCCAGCTGATTAACATCAGGAATGTATCTCTGAGAGTTAATGGGACTATATGAAATGTGATGTTAGAAATAGTTCATTAGTACTTCATCATGTGATTTAGTCTTTATTTAAAATTGAGATATCGTCGTGTGTGCGATCTAGTTTCTTGAATAGCTGTGCTTCATTAACGAAATTATCAGGCGAAGATAAAAGCACATTTTAGAAAATATGATGAAATTCCCATTTTGCTTTTAGCAAACATTTGATCACATCTTGAAACGAAAGGATTCTGAGAACGTTTAATTTCGTAATTTTCCTAGGCTCTCTGAAATGGTTAGTAAACTTTCTACATAAGTGTTTTCTTCAAAAAATATTTTAAATAAATCGCTTCATTAAATTGTATGTAACAACTTTGTCAGATTGAAATTAACCAAGAGAAGGTGATTGGTGCAATTTTGAATCATTACTTGAAATGCTTTACAACGTATTTACTTTCATGAAAGGTAGTTAAATATGAGAAGTCTCAAATAGTGAACTATCGCATATGAGACAAGAATATTACATGTTTTCCCCGATACAGTGTCGTCTTGTTGGAAACCATGAGAAAAAATATTTTTTTAATTCAAGTCAAATTGTTTGTCGATTGGCGTTGTTATACAAAATGAATTGACTCAATAAAAATGTTCTTAAAGGATCTGATCAATTAGACTACAAATAGAAAAGAAGCTTTTTTAAATAAAAATCGGCTGCAGTTTGCTGATGACGTAAGTGTTCTTTCATCTTAGTAAATAGATTGAAATAGATAGAGAACATCAACTATTCGTTTAGGGACTACATGATATTGAAAAAGTTGCACATGACGTGAAAAGAACGATGGAATCATTTTTCAATCGAAAGTAATCGAAGTCGCAACACAAATTACTATTATCGTTTGTAGATAAAATGAATATTTAGGACAGATGTTTAACATAAATGAATGACATGGTCATATCAACAAATACATTTTCATAATTTCACCTAGTGGGCAACATTTCTGATTTCATGAATACGTTTAATTCTACAGTTCTGAATTAGTAGATTGACCGCTGGCATTATTTTTATCAGGGTAAGCCAATGTGAAATTCTTCTCTGGGATCGCATATTCAAACTGAGGCATGAGACCAAGAAACCTTACGACAAAATACAGTGAATAAACATTGTGTATAGAAATAGATGAGATCTCTTGAATTTCAAAACGAATTTTTTTCAAAGCGCGATCGTATAGTTTTCTATTTGATTTAAACCAATATGTCTCTTAGTGAATATCAGCACGATTGAAATGTCGGTTGCTAAAATTCTAATGAATTCTTGAATAGCTTCGCAATTTTTCAGCATTTTACTTTCCAAAATTAGGACTCAGATCGACCATCTTGCTGCGTGATACTGACATTCTGTTATTGTTACGTTCATACCCATAAATCGATGAAGATATACTCACTTCCACGCCTCTTTTCTCTTCACCCATCCTTGAAAATTTTGATAAAAATATATATTTCGTTCATCAGCTGTGAGATTTATTCAATATCAAATAGTATTCATGTTTTTTGTTCAAAATAACTGTTCGAATAAAAATATTTGATACTTAAATAGCCCATATATAGAACAGAATTGGGTTTTTGCCACTATTAATAAGAAAAAAAATGAAGAAAAAAAGCATAGGAATGTTTCACAATAAATAATAATTCATCGGTTTTTTTCTTTTTTCTTTTGTTCTTTGCTTGTTATTGATCCAGATCGTTCATCTTTCCATAGATAAGTTCCTCGAAAAATATAACCATGTTTAGCTGCAGCCTCGAATGCTTCAGGAATTCCAAAGACACCAAATTTATACGGTATAAGCGGAAGCTTCTTCTGATCAACAAGCTCAAGTATTGGATCAACAATTCTCCATGCTTCTTGTAACTCATCGGAACGTACAAAATTAATTTTTGAACCCATAAAAACATCAAGTATTAAACGTTCATAGGCATCAGGTAATTTAACACCTTGATAACGATCTCCGTACGTTAAATCTAATTCAGTTTCTTCAATAATAAAACCCATTTCACCGGGTCGTTTTGTATTTAATTTAAGATAAATAGCTTCATTTGGTTGAACACGCATAACAAGTTCATCACGAGCTAATCTACCATTGGGATCATTTTCACGAATATCTTCATCAAACATGGCACCGGGTGCATCACGAAATTGAATACGTATTTCAGCTTTTTTCTCATTTAATGCTTTACCTGGAAAAAAATCAAATAGTTTGATATTATTAATGGAGAATCGGAACCTGCGCGAAGAATAAATGGTACACCAGCCCAACGTTCGTTATTGATGTTGAGAATCAGTTGTGCATATGTGGGTGTTGTAGAATTATCGGGTACAGTTTTATCATCTAAATAACCTTGCTGATGTTCAACATCTGCCGAATCTTTATCACCAATATATTGTCCAATAACAACATCTTCAGGCTTGACCGGTGAAATACAACGTAATAATTTGACTTTTTCATCGCGAATATCTTCACCTTTAGTTGAACGTGGTTTTTCCATTGCAACAATGGATAATATTTGCATTAAATGGTTTTGTATCACATCTCTTTATATTGAGAAAATAAAAATAAAATTCATAATTTTTGGATAGGGATAAAAGCGAATTTACAAAGACTAGAGAATATCACTATCAGCTAGTAGAATATCGAAACTTCAAGTAAAAGTTTTTTCAAAAACTTTCGATCGTTTTCACCTACTGAATAAATCGAGACCCATATCAATAGCAAGTAGATATCTAAACATTACATTCACCGACTTGACTACCATGAGTTTCTTAAATAATAATTTTAAAAAGAGTCTAGTAGAAATCATCGATCTACAAGTTAATCTCACAGCTCTAAACTCATTTTACCGTAGCTAATTCGTATCTTCCAGAACATCCGCAGCTTATACGATGACGTATCACACGTAGGATGCACAAATTTGACTCAAAAATATTTCTTTCATATTGAAATTTCATTGGAACCACAATCTGATTGTCGTTCATGTACTGATTTTGGGAAAAAAGATCTTTGAATAAATATGTTTATACCGAATAATTCCAAATTGATCAAAATAGCCGCCTCTTCCTTGCGTTCCTATATCTTCTTTAAATATGATAATAACTGCCGCAATCGAATCTCTATTCCAAACTCTTGATAAAATATGATTGGCAAATCGAAGTACGATTATATTTTGTACCATTTCTTTTCCCAAATAATGATCAATACGATAGATTTCTTCTTCGACATAACATTTACTTAAATGTTCAGATAATTTATTTGAACTTTGAAGATCTTTACCAAATGGTTTTTCAACAATTAAACGTATCCAACCAGGTCTACAAATATAAATCATCAATAATAAGCCGAAATATATCGTGCCGGCAAAAGCATTTAGAAACAAAACATATATTAATCATGTCCTATAAATAGAAATTCATTCGAGAGAAACAATAATCAATTTCGGAGGCTATTTGTATTGCAAGTTGCTATCAATTAATTTTTTGACTCGTTTTTGCAGGAAGAGTGCAGTTTATTGACGAGAGGTGATTATAGAAAACTTAATCTCTTGTCATAGAAAATCGTTTCTACTTTTGAATAGTAATGAAATGCCCATGAAAACTATGTTTATAAACGTTTTGCTTAGACTCGATATACACGTATGGATATAATTTGATCTTACGGTTTAGGTCGACAATGTTTACTGATCAGCTCTGTAACACTTTCATAAACATTTGGTGGTAATGCTAAATAAAAAAGTCGATGTGCACTTTCTTGTTTTGACAATCTATTGGCTTCATCATTTAAATGTTGAAAATCTTTTTCAACATCATAGTGACCAACACAATAAGAATTTAATTCAACGAATTTTTGAAAAGTTTCGCGTTCATGGTTTTCAACCTAATTTGTATTTATAAGATGTTTTTTTAAATGATAATTCTGCGAGTATTTTTTTTACTTTCATATATTTTGCAGCATGTTCAAAAATTGTCGCAATAGTTATTTGACTTCGAGCATAGCCAATAAAACGTATACGTTCGGGTAAAAATCCATCACGATATAGCCACCTAAAGAATACAATGAGTATTATTTTTTCTTCTGCGCTACTTATATTTCTTTTTTTTTTTTAACAAACCAAAGTGTTGGATAAATCTTTTTCTTAGCTAAATCGCCCTTGAAAAAAAATAAAACAATTTAGTACGATGCAAATTAATGAACACATACAGATGCACCAAAAATAAAGAATATATGAGAAGTTAATGGTGTAGCCGATCCAAGACGAGTAATTTGAAAACGTAAACGTTCAAAAATACAGTCGGCTGTTTCTCGAGTAGTTTGACTGGTTGAGGTGCTGTGTGGATTCGATTTATTTTCGTCCATTGAAATATTACTATAATCTTTATTAGCAATAAGTATGAAAAATACAAGTAAGAAAGCAAAATTGAACTGTATTATGTTTCGAAAAGGCACTTTCAAGATAGCAGCATAAATAGTGTATAGTCTGCATCGACATCATGACAAATCAAAAAAATATCTAACAGCGAATAGGAAAAAAATAGAAAAACAAAAAACTAACGAACAGTTTTCAATTGACAATGCCATGATACATCTACAGATAAATGCGACATCTTTTAGTGAAAATAATTTAAAAAAATTTCATTCGAGGAATAATTTTAAAAATGATATAATAATAATTTGATTCTTTTTTTTATACAAAGTACAGGATAATTATTATAAAGAGTCACTTAACGACGTATATATGTATGCAATCATAATGGTGTGACAAACTTACGCAAATGATTGTCGATTTGTTAAATCGTAGAAATTTTGTTGTTGTCTAAATCAAAAGTGAAAACGAAACATTGCGTTAGTATTGAAATATCACAGAAAAATAGTTTGTCTTTCATTATTATCATTTAAATAATTATGAACTCGGAACAAGTTTTATCAAGTGAAAAATACATATTGTTCAAGACGGAAAGCGATTGATTCGGGCACGATTCCGTTCATTCATGCGTTGTTTATGTCTTAACTGGGTTTTAATCGTTAATAGATTCAACACGAGTCAAAATTTTTTGTAAAGGCAATGAACATTCCTATAGATTGTACAAGCACCATGCCACACATGTTCATGATATCCATAATTATAGAAGGTTGTTGACAGGCTTGAAAGTGTTAGTGCGGCGGTGTGTGTTGACTACGTGATGAGCACTTACATTATCCCTATCAAATACACAAGAATACTTATAATATCCTCTTTATATTTGCTTCTCGATCCTTTTGCTCTCAATGATTTATATTCGTTCAATGAATAAATGATTACATTTAGAAAGTCAACACTACTTTCTATTATCTAGTACATTTGTTTTAAATTTTTCAAAATTTATTTTAGTTTACTGGAAAGGACCTACATGGAATTTAAAACATATAGAAAGAAATTGCACGTTTCGATTTGTTATTGTTCCATGAAGTATGAAATTGCACAAAATGTCGAAAAGAAACAATATGAAATGTTCAAGATAAACACTGATTTTTCAATGTCGAATAACTTTCGTTCGATGTTTATGTCTTAAAATGTGCTTCAACCTTCAATGGATTACACATGTTGGAAGCCTGTGTAAAAAGTACGAACATTCCTATGAATTATTAGAATCATAGCAATCATGTTGACAACATTCATAAATGAAACTACCTGTTGACATGCTTTTCCCTAAAATACATATATACGTGAGAAATAAAACGGATTCAAGTTCGAACTTACGACATCTTGAGGACATATGATATTCACCGGTGATTCTGCTGCTGAATCTGTTACTATTGAAACCGTAGTTGTTGAAGCGAAACAAATTTTGCAAGATAGTATATAATTCAATATTTGTACAAATTAAAAATAATATGATTGTCAACTTTTCACTGACTACTATCATCCATTTATAATATTTTAAAACATAACTGCTTTTGCATATTCAGAGAGATGGTGATATTTTTATATTCGTATAAAAGAAAAAAAAATCTCATTTGTTATAGTGGAAGTGGCACTAGTTGTAGTTGTCGTAGTTTGTGTGGATGAGCTGGCAATAATAATACCCATTGTTGCCAGCTATTGGTAATCATTATACTCAAATGAACGAAGTATCCACGAATTTACTTAAGTATTGACAATGGTAATTGATAAGCCTCTGATTATCACTATTCCTGTTGTAGGTGGAATAGTTGTCGATGAAAGGTCACGATCCCGAATATTAAACACCCAAAACGAAGAGCTAGCTATGGGAGCAGATTCAGGATCTGAAATGATTATATTTCATTATAGCTGCCGTTTCGAGTCTACATATCACAAAATTCTGTGCCATTAACTACACCTAAAATCGGGATATAAGAATATACCTCAGAAGTATTATATCGTAGAGGAAGAAGTTCATACCACTATCGAACATAACATAGTATGAATATCCTATGTGAAAATAGTCGTGTAAGTTCCTGGTGAACAAATTAAATTTTGTAAATATTCTCTAATAAACTAGAAAAGACAATCAAGCCTAATAAAATTGGAATCATTTTCTCCGTTATACGTTGAACAACGATTGAAATACGAAGTCCGTAAACCTCGACCTGGATGTGTCTATCTATTGAGATATTTTTTCAAGTAAAAAATATAGAATCGAATTTTTGAAAAACTTCAAATAATAATAGAAACTACCCATTGATATTGTATTCGATTGAGATTTTAATGGAAAACAGATGAAAAAGTTTGTTTTTGCGATTGAAGTAGAAAAGATCCTTTCAGAGTGATGTCAACAGATAGATAGATATTGTTAATCTATTGTGATAAATAAGCAATATTTAATGCAGGCATTCATACGAATTGTTGGGTGTGAGATTGGCGTTATTTATTAGAATATCAACACTCGCGCACCTTCAAGAGATTATAGACTCACTTTAAAATATAGATAAAAATCGATTCAATCAACTTGTTAAATTTCTATTTTATTTGGTTTTCCTAATAGTAAGTTAATAAAGAAATGGAAAGAACGAAAAAGGTTCATCGTTATTTATAATAGTTATGAATAAAATTTCTTGTTGTCTTTGGCCATATCAACTAGTAGTTGAGTTGGTGCAAATCGTTCATCATATGTATTACGATGCTTATTCATTAAATCAACTATATTTGAAACACCATATGTATCGATAAAACGGAATGGACCTGAAAAATAGACAAAAATAAATAAACATTGAATACCTACGAACAATACTTTACCGCCTTTCATTGGAGGAAATCCAAGACCAAACACTGCACCTATATCACCATCGGTCTAAAAAACATAATAATATTAGAATTTAATTTATTATCGAAATCATTTTGATATGTACTGGAGATGTAATAATTTGCTCTTCAAGACATCGCGCGGCTTCATTTAAAAATCGCAGACCTGTACGCCATTGAATATTTTCCATTGTCGTTCTAAATATTTAATTAAACGAAAATATTATAAATTAATCTCAAAAAGTATCATTGCAGTTATACTGATGCGAGATAAACGTGAGATTTTCAGTTGCATTGAACATCTTATAAAAATCGAAATTCTTTTTTTTTCTTAGACAGCCGCATTAGAACTTTAGTTAGATGTTTAATGGTGGAAAACTTTGCGATAAAGAAAAAATGTGGTCCGCCCGCGACAGAGAATGACAGTATTGAAGAAGCATTTGAAATGTAAGAGAAAGAAATTCTGCAACATTTTTCTCTCAATAGAAACAGAGAATGCAAAAATGTGATTGTTCTAAAAAAAAACCTGATTTATGAATTTTGAACTTAAGAGTTTGTAATAGAAACAGGTCTTATATGTATGAACGATATAAAATACATGCTATTACTCTATCTTAGAATATGAATTGTGATAGAAACGTGAAAATTCTCGCGTAGATCATATTTACTTTTCTTTAGCTTCTTTTGAATAATTTTTAATTATTTCCGTGAATTTCGGATTAATTTCCCGATCACCACCTTTAACACCAGCTTGATAAATGTATAAGCCTTGTCCGGTCTTGCGTCCACATAAATTATTTTTTACAAGATCTTGGAATAATTGTGGCATTGATGAGTCACCAAGACGTGCACCAAAAACAGTTTGCATGTCACGCGCAATATGAGCGGCAACATCAATACCGACTTCATCAAATAAGGTTGCAGATCCAACAGGAAAACCGAATTTCTTTGTTGCTCTATCAATATCTTTTGGTGTAGCGCCTTCTTGAAGAAGACGAAATACTTCAGCGCCGGCGAACATCAATAGACGTGTTGTATAAAAGCCAGGGCCATCACCAACAACAATAACAACTTTGCCTTGTTTAAGACCAACACTAACCGCTGATCGTATCGTATCATCTGATGTTTTCTTAGCTCGAACAATTTCCAATAATTCCATTTTATCTACTGGTGAAAAATAATGCATACCAACAACCTAAAGTACATTAAAAAAATATTTCATTTTCTAAAATTTAGATTTTAATATTTACTTTTTCTGGTCGTCGGCTATTAGCAGCGATTTGATGAATAGGTAATGCTGATGTATTCGAAGCAAATACACAATGATCTGGAATATTTTGTTCGATTTCAGCAAGAACCTTTTGTTTCAATTGAAGATCTTCAAATACAGCTTCAATAATCATATCACATTTTCCGAAATTAGCAAGCGTTGTTTGACATTCTAAATTTGATAATATATTATCATATTCAGCCCTAGACGAACAGAAAATACAATTAGATCAGTTAAAATGAATTTTTTTGTTTTACGTTGTAATTCGTTTTCGTTTAACATAATTTTGATAACCTTTAGAAATTTGTGTGTAACCACGTGAAAGTGCTTTCGATGTCATATCGCGCAATATAACATTATAACCTTTATCAATAGATACATGTGCAATACCTGCACCCATAAGACCAGCACCAAGAACAGCAACATTTCTGAAATATATTATTTTATGAATTAAAATCTGTATAGAAGATGCACCAAAAGTCCGCCGAAATGAAAAACGTGAACAACTATTGACAATATATTTTCTTCTATGAAGTTCATATAACGTTGTTCGCGAATTATTCTAGCGTTGTATACGATTCCTGCCATATTGTGTGTGGTTCTATGCTGATTTTAGAAATTAAATGCAGTTCAGTTATATTTACTAATGAGCTTTTATCAACTATTGAAATTCTAACTTATTGTCTCATTGCAGTATGTGCATGTGTTTTTCACATGAATGGAAAATATTATATGTATGACTTGAATCATTCACGTTGGTTTTCTTTTCCGACGTACTTTCAGAATAGTGTGTAAAAATATTTTGTTTCTAAAAACTCACTTTACTTCTTTTACTGGTTTTCCATATTTATTTTTCTTGCACTCTGTTCTTCCATGGAATAAACTGATCAATGCTTTCGATTCAGTTGTCATACCAAGATCAGCGAAGCCCTAAAATTCGTAACTGCATAGTTTTATTCAACCATAAAAATTAACTTGTCATGATAACTGCATTCAAGAAATACTGTTACTATTACAAGAATGTGCGCTTATTAAATCAGTTCACGTCGATGCTGTAGATGCGCAATAGGCCATTCAATTCATCACACCAAATTCTCCTACCGCATTTAAGATTCTCTTTTTGTCATAGATTAAAATATGCAGTAGGCTCTGTTTTCGAGAATATTTCTCTCATTACCTGAACGAAAAAAAGCTTAATCTATTAGAATTAATCATTGTTGGCATTAAAACGTTTCGATATGCCTTCATAAAAGTCCTAATCTATTGTGACAAAGATTTGAGTTTCTTTAATATTCTATACTAAATTGAATACTCACTTCTGCTTCGGCATTATATCCAACTTTTGAACCACTTGTTACGGTTTGTTTGATGACCTAATAAACCAAAAACGTTTCATTTACAATCTCTCAAATTTATCCATACGTCTAAGATTCTTAATGGTGCAGGATAGAGACCTTGCGTTTGTGACATAACTTTCTTTGTGGCTTGTTGAAAAATGTAGTTTTGTACATAGGAGCTTGACATTATTTTCGATTTAATACCTATAACCATGATATAATAAGTAACGAACAAGACAAAAGAAAATGTATTTCTTACTTTCTACTAAACCAGATTCCTTCTTTGTGGGTTTTCTCACAGTGAGGTCTCTAGAAGAAGAAAAAAAGATCATATTTTTTATTTACTAATCTTGATTTTATTTTTTTATAAATATTCGTTCAGAATTTCTTCTATACTCTCTAAGTTTCAGATATATGTACTCGATCTCTGGTTATTATAATGTCCTAATGAGAAATGTAACATACTTTGCTTTTTGCACAGCAACTGATCGAAGATAATCAATATTCTTTTGTTCTGTTGGCTGTAAACCAGGTCCGATAGGTTCAACGATATCATCAACTAAACCCATTGATTTTGCTTTTTTTACTTTAATTTCTTTTCCCGTTAAAACAAGATCGAGTGCATCAGGTAACGAAAGTTTTTGCACTAATCTTTGTGTACCACCAGCGCCAGGCAAGAGACCTAATTTAATTTCTGGTACACCAAATCCCGTTCGTTTATCATTCAATGCAATACGATAATGACATGCCAAGGCAACCTTAAACAACATTTGATTGAGTAAAATAAAATTTAAAGTCTAATAAAACTAACTTCAAATCCACCACCAAGACAAGAACCAGCAATAGCAGCAACAATAGGTTTTCGTGATTGTTCAATATTATTCATAATTTCTTGACCATTACGTGAAATTTTTAATAGTTCATCACGACTTTTAGCTGATTCAAGCATACTGAATAAATACAAATGACATGAAAATTCCATTAAAAAAATAACTTTTTTAATGTTTCCTTACTTAATGTCAGCTCCAGCAATGAATGAACCTGGTTTAGCTGATATAACAACAATGCCTTTAACTTTATCATCGTTTTGTAGATGATCAAATAATGGAACGAATTCGTCCATCATTCCTCTCGATAATGTATTAACCTGAATTTATTTCGAAACTTAAAGAATATAATTTTCAACGTTTATTTTTATACTTTCGAATTTTCTTGATTGAATTGTACGACAGCAATACCATCTTGATATTCGACTTTTAAGTTTTTTAGATGTTGTAAATCAGCTTAAAATAAATACAATAAGAGAAAAATTTGCATCGAATAATTCATTACTTTTTATTTGAGGTGGTTGTGGAACTGATGTAGAAGTAAGTCGAGTATAGAGTTGTGCTGTAACTAGTTTGGAAAAGAGATAAGATAATGATAATCAATTTAGCATGGTTCTGGTCTTACCTGGCGAACGTGTTAGAGCTAAAAATCGCTGTTGACGACACAAAAACGTTGTGAATATACTTGAAGCCATTTAAGAAATATCTACAATTTACTTTAACCACAAAGTTGTTATCATTCAATGATGTCGAACGGAGCAAAGGTCTTTCTACTTCTGTAATTTACCATCCGATGACTGTATTACCAATGATTAATTGAATTCTAAGCATTATTGATAAAATAAATGTCTGACTTTATAGATGAAGAGAATGGTATCAAATAATAGAGAATTAAAAATATAAATATTCTTTAGCATATAATTTATTATCACTCGGCGACATCTATCGCATCTTCAATATATTCATGTATATAGCACCAAATCTGTAGGTAATGATTCATATTCATTTTTGAATTATCATGAATGAATCAATCCAGTGAGATAACTAAGTAGTGGCGTAACCAGAGGGGGGCCAGGGGCCCAGCCCCCTCTACAGATGTCTTAGCCCCCCCTAGAAAAAATAAAACCCTGTGAAAAAGTAAGTTTAGCCCCCCTACCATGGCTTTGACCAACGACTTATCCCCCCCCTACAATTTTTTTCTGGTTACGCCCCTATAACTAAGTACTTAAAAGATATCGAATATGCTATTCAAATCGGATTCATTGTTAAGAAGCTGAATTCGTGACTCTATATTATACTAATCTATCATGCAGCATACTCAATTCTAAATATACTTAAGCTAATTTTACGACTCATCTTGATTAATTCGTTGTAGTGTACAAATGCATGTTCCTACATTTAAACAATTCAGAGAAGGATTAAAAAAGAATGGCCGTGCTTGTTATGCAACTAGTTCGATTGAATCTAATAAATATAAATGTGCGTACTCTTATTTTTTAAATTATTTTTCCGATAGTTATAGTTCGACATCACATTCCGAGATTCATTGATAGTCTAGAATAAATTGTCTCAAAGTGACTTCATTGGGATAGTCGAATTCTATTGGCAGAAATGTTATTCAACAAACATTTTATGATCGTTCAAAAAAATGTTACCGAAATTTTTATTTCTCTAATGAATATCAATTGAATTTCATTTTAGAATGATTTATTTGTGTCGATATTCAAATATTTAATTAGAAAAAAAGCCTACGGAAATTTCATATAATGTTTTTTATTCTTCATTTAATGCAAGATAGTGACAAGCAAAAAACACATCAATTCTAAAAGCATTTATCCTTCTCTAATTACTTTCACCGGCATCTAAGAAAAGACTATCGATCAGTTGTTCAACTGGTCGTCCTGCTTCTTTCGCTTGTTTAACAGCATAAACAACAATGCGTGCGCGTTGTTCAGGTTTGAGAATAGCATCGAATTCATCAAGAGCTTTTTCACGACCTACGGAAAGTTGACGGAAACCTTCGCGTAATTTACTTAATAATTCTTCGGCTTTTGCACCATCGTTGCTTTCGGCAGCGACAAATAATTGTTTTATAACTTCTTTGCCAGCCTCACGACGAGCATGGAATCGTTCGGCAGCACCCGCAAACCATGTTTTGAACTAATACAAAAGTCAACAGTAATTTTGAATGAAACAATTAAGAGCCTTACTTGCTGTTCTTGTTCAGCCGATAGATCTAAACCTGCATTGGTTTTCCAATTGTCAATGATTGCATCAGTTTTGGCGTGTGTCATTTTTAAATGTTCTTCAATATTAAAGATTCCAATTGAAATAAAGTAACGAAGGATTCTAAACTTAGCTAAATGTAAAATATCGTAACGACAATAACAATGAGAGAAATCCAATGATACCCCCGTGTTTATATAGACTGAGATGAAGTATCAGTAAACATTTTTCTTATCAATATTATAGCACTTAGTTTTTTCTTGCTTCATATGAAAAAAACTAAAATATTCAGATTGTTAAACATAAAGTCACCTAATCATTATCTTTGCCCTTTGAAACCACAATAATAAACATTAAATATGAGTTATCTAAACTAGAATTTTCTATATTTTTCTAAAGATAAAATTATGAATATCATCTTGTGTGGTTGATTCAAGGCAAATACAATGAGGTCTTATCAGTTTAGTCTTAAAAATATTCAGTATTCATTTTTTGTTTTGTTTTCGATAAGTAAAGAATTTGAACATTATCGATTTTATCTATTTCGACTATTGATTAATTAAATAAATAAATAAATAAACAAAAACAAAAAAAACGCACAATCTGTTGTATATGATGACTAGATCATTAAAGATCACGAAAGAAAAATAAAACTAATTGAAAGGGGTCGCAGGTCGATGATAATTTTGAATCGATTATTCTAAAAGAAATTCATGTTTATTTGATTTTAAATATTTTTGCAATTGCGTAGGATAGTCAGTCATAACACCCGTAACGCCAATTTTTTTAAAAGCATATTCAAATTCTTCTTCGTTGTTTAGTATCCAAACATAGACCTAATTGAATACGGTGATAAACAATTTGAATAAAAAAAGATTCAACTTACAGGAATACCACGACGTTGTAAATGCGCAAACATTGATTTATTATTTAAGGCTCTAGATGAATGACAAGATATATATACGTATGGAAAATTTTCAAACAAATAACTACCGCTCAGCTAAATATAAAATTATTTTGAGTTTCCAATCTAAATTTTCACCACTTTTCCTAGAAACAAGAACGTTAAGTTAATAAAAAACAAAGCTATACATATATATCATACCGAAAAACTACACCAGGCATAGGGACTTCAAAGGCTCCTATGTAAAATTTAAAAATAGTTTAATAATTCTTTTCCTTTCAATTTTTATATCGTTTACCTGGTGTTAATCGTATAAAGGGTAATAGACCGAGCCAATAAGTCAATACAATACCAGCTGCTTCTTGAAAGGAACAAAATCGAACGATACGAGAATTCTAAGATAAATAAAACCGTTAAATACAAACGAAACAAGGAAAATTTCTAACCAACTTGTGCAGTTAATTTTCGACATATTTTATGACTAAAACTACCCCAATAGGTAATATGTTCACGTTGATATTTTTTAATCAGATCTGAAACCTAAAGATTACAAACAAACAAAAATATTCCAGTCCTTTGCAAAACACATAAAATCTGACTCGCATCTACGATTCATGAAGCATAGAGAATTTGTTCAAATTTTCTTTAATAAGAACGAGCATCATACCTCATAAGATATCTGTTTTCTACACGAAATTCGTGATCATAGCGACTATGATTGTACAACACTTTTCAAAGAGAAAAAAAAGAGAATCCTTAGAAATCTGACCACTGTTTGCTAAATGATAAAACGATAAGTTTACCTGTTTAATAAGTTCATCACTATTTTCTTTAATATCAATATTAATTGGAGTTGTTGGATAACGTTCAAAAACATCTTTTAATAATGGTATACGTAGTAAGTCTGTATCATGTGGATTATCATTTGATATTATTATACCTAAAACAAACATCATCATTTTTCTTTTTGTACAAAGGCATTTTTATTATTTACTTGAATCATAATAAAGTTGCAAATTACTACGAATGCTTGGTAATTTCTAGAAAAGAAAACCGTATTTTTTCTTTTGATCGATTTTCTGCTTACATCATATTCAATATCTCTAATAAATCCAAATTGACCAGTCGTTCTATTTAATGTAAAATCATGATGAACAACTGCTTGACTATCTTTTGTTAAATGACAATCTAATTCAAGCATTTCAAGCCCATTTTCCAATCCTCTACAAGCATAAAAATTCAATATTAGAAATAATTTTTTCATTGTTATTTTCTAAATATACTTGTCAAATGCAAGGAAAGAATTTTCTATTGATTCTCCAGCTCCTAATAAAAAGTTTAAAAAATACTCTTATTTATCGGCACAGTCTAATCCCAACTATATTAACCTCCTCGATGACCAATATTTCGAGCGATAAATGCTGGTCGACGTATACGATGAATCCATTGTGGTTTACGAAGGAAGACATATGAAGTGACTGCATAAACGGTTGCAAACGTCGTGCAAACTACAAAAATTGACATGTATCTTATCAGCTGAAAGTTGAGTGCCCTGATCAATCAATGCGCTTGCTATTTGACGTTGACTCACTCATTCATTAGAACGTGTGTGGCGACATCTATAAATTAGAATATATGCATTGAAAAATATGAAATTCAAATCGGTTACTTTTTTAGATTTGAATAGGAAATTTTTTTCTTTGAATAAATTTATCAGAAACTTCTAAACCAATCAAGACTTCGACCATTGTTGTCATGGTGTCAATTATATTCCATTCAGAGATCGACTAATTAAGTACAATATGTCGACGGAAATTCACAATGATGATGATCTTACTGATCCACGTAATGGTACTGACGTTGAATTACGTGAATTAGTCTATCAGTCACTTGAACGTGAAGGTTTAATTTCACTTTTAAAAGCTCAATTGCGCGCTGCTGTCTTCAAAACAATTGAAAGAGCATCAAGTCATTCGGATATACCAAATAAACCTGGTTATGATGGCACAAATGGGCGCATCTGTCGTGCACTTGTTCTTGATTGGCTCAAACAGTCACATTTATTTTATACACAAGATATACTCGAAGTTGAAACATCAGGTCCGGGTCATCCAGTACCATTGACTTATTCAGAATTATTCGAGCACTTACATCTTGAGTCAAAATCGAATTCATCTGAGCCAATTCTACATGCTCTACTCAATCACAGCAGCAACAACAACAATAATAATAATATTCGAGTAAGAAAAATAATTGATAGAATCAAGTTTTCATTAGAACTAAACTTATCTATTTAGCCTTCAACGATTAATACTCTACCTGAATATATCCAGCAGTCTATTGATACGAAATTTCCCATTGAAAAAATAAATGATATCAATCGTGTACGAGAACATTTTTGTTCAGTTTTTTCATCAACCTTTGACAAAAGTGTACTCGACGCATATCTCCATAAAAGTCTATCATCATCAGCAACATCAATTGCTAAAAGTGAATACGAACAAATTTGCCTGAAATGGTTGCAAGCGTGTGCAAAAGCACTTATACCATCACCAAGTCCTGTGAAACAAGCATCTTCTATGTAAGTTGTTCATTTCAGTTCTGTAAAATTGCTTTTACGAATTAATCTCTTCAATGTTTTTTTTAAATTCTAACTATCTTTGTCACTAATATTTTTTACGAATAAATATTGATTAATGCCAACATGCGAGATTTATGACAAGTTGGACTATGATTTTCTGTAAAATAAATACTAAGAAGCGTATAAGTCACTCAGTGCTTTTGTAGGCAAGATATTCAAATGTGTTTCAGAACGAGTGTGATTTGTATATTTAGCTCTCAGAGACACGTACACTGTAGTTGACAATTTTTTACTTTAGAAAATTTGAAAGCTTGTATAAACAATGATTGTAATTAGAACCTATGGGATCTTGTCAGTACTCCTATCCTAATATACAGCGAGAAAAGTATTGCATCACTTATCGGAACCGATCTGATATTTCAATGTTCACAGGATGAAAGTCAATTTTTCTTATTTCCCTAATCTCAAATAGTTTGAAAATATTTTTATTGTAATAAAATCTTCAATTATTTATTTTTTAGCGTAATAACACAAGCGTTAGCATCAAAAACTATTGTGAATAATGGTCAACCAGTAACGCGAGCTCGTCGTGCGACATCTCCACCATCGGAATCAACTTCTTCGTCATCTAGTTCAACTTCCGATAATCATCGAAAAGGTGCTTATGATTTTCAACTACCAACAATAATGCCTACCAAGAAAAGTACAGATGCTATTCCGCCACCATTACTCAATTTTAGTAATAACGATGATGATGACACAACATCATCAATATTTTCTCTGCGTAATGCTACACCAGCTGCATTAGATCGTTTGAAAAATATTGACGATATTATTCGCGGTGACGAAACACCTCGTACAAGAACAAACGTACAAAAAGCGACTAATAAAGATATTGCTGTTGAATATGACGATGAAAGTATGAGTCAAAGTCAAAGAAGTAGCGTTGACGATATAACTGTGGACAAAGCGTCACCATCTCCATCGATTCATATCGATTATTTGGAAGATGTATAAACATTTTGAATTTATTATAAAAATTTTTCTTTTTTTTTCTTCTTCATATCAATGATGTGCTGCATACTATGATTATACTAGCCACTGCTTTTTGTGTCTATGGTGAAATCATTCCTTTTTTTGTCTTTAATTTAATTCAATTTTGTTCACAATTGAATTAATATTCACAGGAACTTTTGTTATACAAAGCGTCATTAAAATTTATTTATGGTTAAAAAATAGAACGTTCTTTGATTGTGCAATTTGTTTTTCTTTTCTCTTCGTATGAACGAACAGATGTAGATGAAAATCAGTTTTATAAAGTGTCATACGAGTCTTTTTATTGGTTAATAGAGTTTAAAAACGATCGCAATCTTTTATAGTACTTGACGTGTCTTATGAGGTATAAACAACGAGAATTTTGATTTATAGAATATGTATCACTATTGTAATTGCAAATTTTTTATCCTTAGATTGTCTAAAAGATCAATTACAAGAATGAGATGAGATGAGATGAAAGATACACCCTAACTGATGTTGAATAGATTGTTCTCTGGTGAAGTTAGTATTGAAGAAATATGCCGATAATATTGATAATTTTTCGTTTTTATTTCCAAATTAGTTTTTATGATCAATCTGACCTATATTTTATCATGAAAACCAAAACCAAAATACCTTTTCTATATTAATCAATGATTTAATTGTTTACTTTATTAATGATATTTGTGTTGCCTATTGGAAAATTTTTTCATAATTTGCTTATAGTATCTTTGCAATAGTTTATTCTCGAAACTAGATCGAGATGTGCATTTGTCACTGTTTAAAAGAGAAAATGAAATTGCATCGAATTCTCAGGACCACTCACCATATTTTTTCAAACGATCGAGATCTTTTAGTAAATTTAGCAGGTGAAGTTTTCGTCAAGAAATTTGTATTAAAATGTTAATAACTCGTGATTGGCTAAACATATTATTGAGATTCAATTCATAATTCTGGTTTACCACTAAAGATTTAAATAATTTTACATGAAGCTATATTTTCTGTTTTAGAAACTTGGTAGGAGATTCTAAGAAAACTCTGATATTGAGAATTCGATGCAGGTTTATTTCCTCTTCGCAATGATAAAAGTCGCACATTTCTATCTAGTTCTTAGAGAAAAAAAATATTCAACTTTCTTTTAATTTGAAATGGATAGCAGTGAGTTTAAATCTACATTTTTCTGATACATGAAATTCTTGCAATCGAAATCATTTCGTTTCTTCATTTGTATTTATTTTATATAGCTATATCTTTACTCAGTATTTTTATCGGATTAGTTTTATTTCGTTATAAAACTCATTTGATCGTTCATATTAATAAGAATAATAGGATAGCTTTTGTATGACATGGCTTCCAGGCATTGCAAAACAAAAAAGAATTATTTTAGTGAACTATAATTTTATATTATACTATAGGGTTTTAATTTTTCTTTTTCTAAATAGTATCTACCTCGCAAGATGGCGTTTTGCATTACATATTTGATTTCATTCATTTGATTTATGATAGGCATCATTAATTGACAATAAAAACAGAAATTGCTTGGCAGCACTTTAATACGTTTTTGATTAATACATTATAAAATGTAATCGTCATGGTTTGTGTCATTTGTTAACTCTATGTAGACCCACATATATAATATGTCAATAGGAGAAAAAGAACAGAATATTGTAATATTGTCTACTCTCCAGTTCGTTGACATAGAATAGAAAAAGAGAAGAAAAAAGAAAATAAAGCGTAACTTTAACTTTGTATATGACCCAGTTGAAAGAATAGTAAGAAACAAGGTGTAGGTCATCGATGGATACACACGTGGATGTACATGTACACAAGTGTAATCTTTGCTTTTTCCTATTTTTCTTGATTTACGTTTTTTTACATAAATACCGAGTTTTACGTTTCTTTTTTCTGATATTTAAAAAGCTTCTGTCTCGATATGTGCAATGCGTCTAATTACTCGTCATCAGTTACCTTCGATTCATCCCAGGCGGTCTTTTGTTTCCTTGTTATTTACTATTAGTATTTTTGTTAGTATAGGAATTATTTTACGTGCTGCTAATCAAGATACACAATCAACTGCAATTATAAATGAACCAATTGTAACAAAACAAAAAGAAGTAAAATTATCCGAAAATAAGACTATATTAAATCAAAAAATTGCTCCCGTTCAAAAGTAAGCATTAGATTTCTGATGGCTTGACAGTGTGAGTGATTTTCTTGTTGACAAAATTTTTCTACGCGTACATGATAAAAATTTTTTTCATGTCAGTTTTTAAAAATAAATATCATAGAAACTAATATTTATTTTAGAGAAAACGCATGGCCTTTAGATGCTCAAGGTCGTTCATTAAAAACAAACTTCTTAGTTCTTGATTGGACTGGTTTTTTCGGTGGAGGAGCTACTGAAGGTGAACGTGTACTATGTTCATCATCCAATACTACGTTTGTATGGACACGTCAACACAATCGAATTGAAGAAACTGATTTTATTATTGCACATGATGGTGGTGCTGGCGGAAGTATTCCATTCGATCATTTACATCTTAATAAAGATCAACAACAATATACAATGGCATTCGTTATGGAAAGTGAAGTACATTCAACAACAGGCAATGCTTGGGCAAGATTTAATTTTATAATGACATATAATCTTGATGACAGTTATCCAGAGCCAGCAACATACTTTGATATGAATTTATACTTGGATGATTTACTCAGGCCACCAAGTGTTTCGTTTGAAGACAAAGAAAAACAAGCCGATGCTGTGTGGATTATTTCAAATTGTAATGTAAGAAGAGAATATCGAATTTAGTAGATGAAAAGATTGCTGATTCTGCTAAAAAAAGTGTTTTCATTCTTAGATTGAGGTTGTCCTTGTGATGCATGAGTTTTTTTATAAGTTACTCTTCTTTCTCTTTCATTTAAGACAGACATTTTTGAAGTTCTCTTATATCGTTGCATGAATTGTCTAGGCACAAAATGGTCGTGAAGGATTTATTCAACGATTAATGCAAGAAATCAAAATCGATTCGTTCGGATCATGTTTTAAATAATCGCCGTGGTTACGGAGCTCGTATGGCTGATAATGTAGATGCATATAAAAAATACAAATTTGTAATAGCTATTGAAAATTCTAATTGTGCAGATTATGTTACTGAAAAATTAGTTAAAGCTGTAGAATCGGGTTCTATACCTATTGTTGCTGGTCGTGATGGTCGTCCAGATTATCGAAGATATATGCCTAAGCATTCTTTCATAAATATATTTGATTACTCATCGATGAAAGATCTTGCTGATGATATAAAACGTATTGGAAATAATAAAACATTATATGAATCGTATTTATGGTATAAAAAAAATGATATTAATATTCAGAATTTCAAAGAACTTCCTTTGACTGCCAAATTGAAACATGTGGCTGATATTATTGGTTTGAATTCAACAATGTTGACCAGTGGCATTGCAGCAAAAGAAAAAAGTGAAAATAAAGTGTGTAAACTTACGCGATTTGTTCGTCAAACACCTTGGCAAGACATTGCTGCACATAACAGCACAGCAAGAGCTGGTCCAGAAACCGCTTGTCTACCTCGACGGCATTTATCAAATAGTTTTAGTTAAACGAATACAACGTAGGCCTTTGATTTGTTTAGGATACAATTATGATAATCTTCTTTGTTATGTGAAACGATGATTTTATTTATTTATTTTTATGTGATAATATTTATTTTTGTTTCTTCAAGAATATTGTTCCAAGTTATAAAAATATTCTAGTTTCAGTTCCTTAGAAATACCATAATATCTAGAAGAATTGTGCAACAATTCGAATCAATCAACTATATTTTGTAGTTTAACACAAATATATCTCATTTACGAGTTGCATATTCGAGTGTGAGTCTATTATAGGTGATTGAAAAGAACATAGCACACTCACATCAAATAGGATTCAAGATAATTATATATTAACACCACAATCCAGATTTTTTTATGAAATCCCTATCGTATTACTTCGTTTGTATTTTTCACATAATACTAAACGTATGCTATCACCAGTCAGCAACATATATACTAGAAGTAATACAGTATGCAAATTTCTATCGATTTAATGCTAATTGTTTCTGCAAAAAAGGACGTCCTCCAATTGTTTACAAATGTGCAGGGAATTTTTCAGGCACCTCTATAGTGAATTATTTATTATGTTTGCAAACATGCTTTAAAAAACAACTCTTGCATATACAATAAAAAATGAGGAAACATCGGATTCGCAACCGATTGTTACGTGTACTGCAAAAAATGAGTCGATTTATATATATTTTGAATAGTTCTGAGAAAAAAGTTTTTAAAAAAAAAATCTCTGTACCCTCCCCCTCCCCTCAGGGATGGTCTGGTCAATAATGACAATTTTTTCGATAACTCAGCCATTTCTTGATGGATCCTTTTCATCGTCGAATTCGACTGAAATATTAATGAGATCATTATGTGTACAAAATTTCATGACAATCGGATGAGGCTTTCAAGAGTTATCGTGTTAACGGCCGCACACACTGGCCGAATCTATAGTGTACTCACTTTTGTTTTTTGAGTACACAAAAAACATGAAGAAGACCATACTTTGAAGGTAATATTAATTATCAGTTTAATTTTTGTCAACATAATTGCTTGTTCACGCCTATTCGACATTGTGGAAACATATTCACTGTTGCCACTGCCAGCGTTTTAGTTCAATCTAAATGTCATTGGTTAGAAGTTTTAAATGATTATCTGAACGATTTCGGAATCGGTATAAGTAAGTTTAGTTTTATTTTCTGTTACGAATCAATACTATTGTTAGAATTGCGTTGGCTACTACTTTTCATGTTATCTAAAAAGCGATCAATCGACAGCATGTTGACTTTGTTCAAAGTTCTGATTTCGATGGAACTGACCCTTTGAAATGTTGTTGGCCTACTTTATCAAGTAAGACCAATTCATTCAATGAGTGTAGTAGTGTTCTTCATAGTAATAGCTGCGCTCAGTAATTGCAGTTCTCTGACCTCCCATTGAGAATTTTCGAAAAGAGAGAAGAAGTTGATGGTTGTTTTGTTCCATTCTTCGAAAACCATAAGTATAGCTAAAACGCCCAAATCGAAAAACTGATTCCTTTTTCAAGTATGTTTGATCGTTGCTGCAAATATATGTTACGAGCAACTCTCACTAGCTCAAAGAATGCTTGTAGAAGATGTTGCTGTTTACTTTGTCATTACAAATTTGAAGTTGTTATTTAAAGTATTCAAATTCTTTTTATGCTTTCCTTATTGCTTGTGCTGTTCTATAAGCTTCTGGTCGTTGTTTGAACAGTCTAGATCCCTGGCGCAACATACTGCACAAATAAATGTAATTTCCGATGGTTCTTTCTTTAACCATGCTTTAACTTGATTTCCATTACCATTAAATTTATCCAACCAAGATGAGTTGAATTTTATTTTGTGATCAGGCATTAAATGGGAAAATTGATAAACCTATACATGAATATTATACGTTTTCTTTATAATGTTGCAGTTCATGTCAAGGAGATATGTCAGGAAACTACTCATAACTTGGAATCAGAATCTAATGAACGGATTCGATGGCGATATTCATCCGATTTCGGCTGGTTCTAATCGAAAAGGTGTTTATTCTGTGGTTTCCGACTAGAAATTCACGAGATACGGCGAATGCAATGTGGCAACAATGTAAGACAACTGCGCACAATTCGTGCTGTAATCTAGAAAAAAGAAGTCATTTAAATGAAAAAAAAAGAAGTTTACATGGCACATCAGTAACCGATTAATGAAAGGACAATGAGTATAATTCTAATAAAAAGAAAATGTCCTATACTATATTGTAGCTATATTAAATACGTATATTGTCTCGATGTAAGTTAATCATCATTCATAAACATACATCTTTTGTAGGAAGAAAGTTGTCGACGCATGGTGATAATTATGAGTATTGTTGCGACGGCCGCTATGGTGCCTATAATAGCTAAAGGAATGTTTGCTGATTTGACATAATATGAGAAAATTTGTAATTCACTTAGAACGGAAACTAAATTGAGTCATACACAACGAATGAATAAGTTCCGTCTCTAAACGAGAAACTACTTTTTTTCTTGAATCTTATTTGCCTTCACACAGTTTAAACAGATCGATTATTCTACGAATGATGACAAGTGAAGCAGTTCGTTTCTCGTCTACACCATTTGTTTATTTTTTTATTAACCCAAGGATTTTTCAGCTCGCCGTTTCTACAGTTGTAGCGTTAAATACTCGTTTTCTTTCTTTATAATCAACAACGCACTGTTTGAATTCTGCGTGTTTTTTCATTTGAAATAAAATCTAATATTGCGCGGATCATATAGAACTTAGTCATATGAACAGTGATCGTGTTTTGCAAAGTTTTCCCATCGTTTTATCAATTATCTCAAATAGTTTGATATATGTTAAAACGAATGTATTGTTTTATTCAATATTTCTATCTGCCTAATGTCCAACAAAATTGATCAACAAATACTTCATGTTAATTACATCCAACACAGACATGCCACGTTTAAAAATTGTTTATACATATGACGGAACTTAGTTTTCGAAAGTTTCTCGAGGCAAACCATATAAGCGTGCTGCCAATTGCCAAAATGTATCGCTGTAGCTTTAGTTTTATTAGAAACTGAAGCAACTTTTTATGCCATTATTCATTTATTTTTTTTTCAAACACAGACAAACAACTATATAGTTGTGATTGACGTCTAGCATTCCTATAAAATAAATATAGAATTATTTTCGATTCTCTTTGGTTTTAACAGTAGAAATAAATTATTCAATCCAAAATTTTCAGGAATACCAGTAAAACTAGTGTTCAATGATGTGCTTGAATTCTATCGAAAAAAATATGATAACTAATATCTCAATAACTCAGCTATAATCAATTTAAAGAAAAGTGTGCATAATACTTTTATTTAACTCAGGTATCATCGATAGATGTCAGTGTTACGTTGATTTTTCTATGGGCTTCAGATGTCCTGCATATGCATATGCATTTATCTATATTTGTCCGCTTTATGAATAAAATTAAATAGAATGAAAGTTCCATTATTTGATAGATGAATTAATGCTGCGATGATTCTTATCCAGGTTTTAAAGAACAATATTGAAACGATAGAAAAATAAGAAAATCAATCGAAATAATTGGAGAATTATCTATAGCGATGTAGTGGAAACTTTTATTAGTTTTCCCTTTACATTTCAAGAAAAAAGTATGCGCCCAAGAACAGATGCAAAATCCCATAGATAATTCAATCAATAACTAAGGCAACTGCTCTTTTTAATTTTGATTACCACCCATTGAATTGCTACTTTGTTCATCATTTTGTTGATTTAGGTGTTCATTATTATTATTCATGGCATAGATTTCATCGTCATCGTCATCGTCATCATCATTATCCTCGTCGTCCTCGTCAGATTCGCTATCACCATCGTCATTCGGTTTGTTATCATTATTATAATATTCTCGTCTATGTCGTTGACGTGTTGTAGTCAATGTTGTGCGTCTTACACCTTGAGTCAACGAATTAGTTGTATGTAATTTATCAATAATAGTTCCACTTTCTAAAAATAATTATTCAAAAAACAAAAAACAAAAACAAACACAAACATTCTATTTTGTAACATATGTCCTACGAACCAGTTAGATTGATGATAAAAGCTGTAATAATTAAGCATACTAAGGTGAAGAGTGGAATCATTGAACGAAACTGCATCGTTATTCTAATATATATGTTAAAAAGAAGAAAACCGTAGTCAGATCTTGGCCCTATGTGTTTATAGACAACAAAAACGATTACTGTTTTTTCGAATAAAATTTATTCGTTCTATTTGAATTCTATGCTAGATTTAATTCTACAGTCATGTGGAGTTAATAAAATATATCCGAGAAAAAAACAATAATCCTTTTTCATTTTCAAATAGGTGTTTTTTTTTTCTCTAGAGACTAATCATGTCAATATTATTTGTATTGTTTGTTATAATTGATACCATCTGATCAAGCCAAGAAAATTACATTCGAGCATATTCTTTTGATAGAAAAAAAAAGAAGAAGAAGTCAATCAAAATAAATAACTCAATACCTATGATACTCTCGCAGTGGTTGAAGGGGACTTCCGTTCCGTGAAGTTTTTCAAGAATGATTTTAAAAAATAAGAAGAAATTTCCAGATCACAATGTTTCAATCGAACGACAGAAATCTGTTTAAAAATTTTTAATTTACACATGATATGGACATTGCATTAGCTAGAAATGCCTGGCAATAATCTAGATTTCAGTTTTCGAGCGGTAACATTTACACTGAAACAAAAATAAACGTTTCAAGTTGGAATTCGATCAGAGAGAAAGAATTCTCATTAGAATTCACTCAAAAATTAATTTCGAAAAAACTTCAAAATAAAGCCAACCTTTTCTTTTTCTTTTAATTATTAAATATTATACAATAAGTCCCGTATAATCATAGTTAAATTTATTATTTTTTTTGTTAGCAGTATCTACTAATTTGACATATTTTGATTACTGAATAAAAGGAAAGTCCTGGATATAATTTTTATTTTGTAGAACAATATTATTCAATAAATTAATTAGATTCATAATAAATTAATCGAGAGTGAAGGCCACATTAACAAACAATCGGTGATGCAATATAAACATTATTTAAACTATTTTAACGAATATGGTTTTTCTTTCTTTCTTTCTTTCTTGTGAAACTGACAAACTTTCAAAGCCAACGAAATAGATAAGCATTCATTATATCTTCACCAAATAAATTTATAAAAAGGAGAAAGAGATAAAGTGATGATGATGATAATAATGATAAAATTTTCAAATAATGTGTGTCAAATAGAAATAACAATCAACGAAAGGTATATTGCACACACAGATCTATAATGAACGATTTACAATGGATCGTGTGAGCCATGATTAAATGTTCGAGGTCGAGCAGTACCTCGATTGCCAACAATAAAACGTGCTGATTTTGAATGTTGATGCATTCTATTGAAATTGAGAGTTGGCTGTGGGGCAGATTCCTTCATTGAAAAACAAAACAATAAAGAAATCATTAACATTAATATTCAAAACAAAACTATGCCTACAGGAGTAAGACGATTATCATTGGATGTAGATAAAGCAGCATCGGTAATATTCGTGGTTTGACGTAATGTTAAAAATTTTGCTGATTGAGCTAATAATGATCGACGAAGTCGTTTATTTTCTTCTACTTGCCGTGCTAATTCAATAGCTAGTTCTTGACGTTCACGTTCAGCAAGAATCTAAAATAAAAAATAATAAGAATACAATTCACAAAATCCATATCGAACCCGTTCATTGCCTAAATTCGGTTCCAAGCCAGTGTTTGCTCTCATAGATCGAAGTAATAGAATACTTTCTGTTTTTAATCGATTTAATTCAGATCGAAGACGATCATTTTCCATTAGTAGTTGCTAGATAATTATGAATGAGCGTAAGGAAAGATACGATTTATTTATAATAAAACAAAAAATGAATTCATTTACTTCATTGGCTTTCAACACATCGTCTATAGATGTATAATTTGGTACTTTAATATCCGCAAATAGTGGTGCATCTTTACGAAGTACTTGTTCGAGATGCGCTTTATAAGATCGAAGAAGATTAGATTCGTCTGAACCATTGGTAGGTGGCGATGGTGGTGCATTTGTTGCACCATTATGAAAACTTTTACTACGGTTAACAGCTCCTTGAGGTTGTGGACGTGAAAAAGGTCCATCATGCGTAGAAATTGCCGGTATTTCATCAGTGGACATTTTTCGAGGATTATTGGCAGGCAATGGAGCGCGAGGAGTATTTACCACTCGAGCTGATACCGGTTGTGAAGTTGATGATTTCTTGCTCGATGTTGTACGATTCAAGTCATTTTCATTTGGCGTCGCCACAAAAGCATTAGTGACTTGACCCTTCAGTGAAGCCATTTCACGTTCGAGAGATTCTAGACGATCATGATCTAAACAATACATGTATAACCATCAATAGATAAGAGCTTTGCCGAAGAAATAAATATTTTCAACTATAAAATACATACAACGTCGTTGTGAACTGGTATAATCATTAAATAATGATGCTATTTCAGTTCGCGCAGCTACAGAAGATCCAGTATCACATCCTAGACTACGACCAGATGTTTCATATAATAGCTCCCGATTTGATCGTACTGGTTGCATGTTTACAAATTCAATGATGTTCGTATGCACTTAAACGAGCATCATCATTCATTTCTTTTCTTTTTCTTTTTTTCATTTTCTTTTTCTCGTACCATAGCAATGCCTCTGTACAACATGGAAGTCGCTATCGAACAGCACGACAACAGAATTTACGTGATTTTTTTTCATATATAGCATTGCGAAGAACAATATTTGACGTATAACAAACAATTAAGGTTGCTCTAGTCGTATGAAAAGCAATCTTCTATATTAAATATTTATTATAAAAAAAATCAAATTTTAAACACAAAAAGAAAGAAAAAACAAAGAAATATTGATTTATTATGTTTCCCTACAAATAATTTACTTCAGTAAAAACAAAACAAAAAGAAGGAAGATAAACAAATAATTTCCTTTTCATAATCCAAAATATCGAGCATGTAATCGTCCACCAGCAAAAGCCGCTAAACCCATGCAAAATATCGTAAGTAAATGTCCGGTTTCAACAAGATTAGCACTATAACTATTGTATGTAGTCACACGTGAACCTTCGGCAAGAGCTGCCAACATAAAAAGAGCCGCAAGAAAAAGAATCGTCGCCGGAAGAAAACCTAATACGCCAGTTAATTGAATACAATTCATAGATAGAAGAATTATCATTCCCATGCCGAGTAGACAAATAGCAACAACAAGAAGTCCAGCTGCATGTTCGGTACCAATGCCAAGTATACTGTTACGTTGCATATCAATACAGGTTGACGTTGAATTTAGTACATTACCCGTACATTGTGTAAAAAAATTATAATAGAGTGTGCCACCAGTTGAATCTTGATCATAAAACCAAGAAATTGTAGCTGTACCAACGATCGATAGAATCAAAGCGATTATACTAAAAATGCCAGCTGTTAACACAACGACACGACTGAGTGGATCCATAATCATGGAAGAAGTTCGGCTTGAAAATGTTTGCATTTTGAAAATTCTTTTTAGAAGTACATGGAAAAAAGCAACAAATTAATTTCATATGATCTCAATTATGTGTAAGTGTTCAAAAATGTTTTCAAGTATTTTATAGACAACGAAAAAAAGAACTTTTACCTGGTGCGCTAGTAATACTGGCGTTGGTTTTCACAACCGATTGAGATTTTTGTGCGTAATACAAATAGATTGTTTTTAAACTCGTCAAAATGTGAAGAAAGAAGAAAGAGAAAAAAAGCTTTCTGTTTGTTTAGGTTGTACGAATGAGAAAGAAAAAGAAGTACAATGAAATTTGGCACTGAAAATATACGAATATTTATTTTTCTGTCTGTCCATTGTTTGTTGACTGTTAGTTTCGGCCAAAAGCAAGTGAACCAATTTTTATGTATTGCTAGCAATGAGACGATAATAAACGATCAATTTTAGTAAGAAAACATTATGGAAATTATAAGTAGTAAGAAATATAGAGAAAGATTTAGGTATAATAAAACATTGAATATTTGTTTTTGAAAAGATGTTATCAAAAATTCGATTTATAATAGCACTTAAAATAAAAGCCTACAGCTAACCGATTCGATTGTTGTTTTACAATGTCTCGAAGTTATTTTAGAATATTAAGCGGTGGTTTTTGACGAGATCTAGGCTGGTTTCGATTGTATATCTACTAACAATAGAAGTTTTCTTTGGAAAGTATTTAATCTACGACAGCAGAGAAGTGATTTACTTTGAGTTTGACTGAATATTGCATTTCGAATTTCATCTGTTTAACGAGTTTAAAGAAATAGTAGAAAAATAGTCTAGCAAAAACATTGTCGGTTGATCTTCGTAGATCTCTTGATGAAGATAAAATGTATTAAACAGAGACGCGCATCAAGATGTTGCCGTATCGCACTACGGATATAGCCACACAGGAATCCATCAAGTAGTACTTTTTAATTATTAAGCAATACAATCGATGTCTATTTATACTGGTAGGATTCTGCGTAGAGTCCGATTGAGTTGATCACGGGTTCAAGTTGGAAAACGTTTCATCCGCTCATAATCTACTGCACTGAGAAACACTTAAAATGTAGCATTTGCAAAAACAAATATCTTTTTATTTTCCTGCTGTTGAGAAACTGGCCGAGGATCAATTTTGACTGTTGCGTTCTACAATTCCAGTTAGTTGCTTAAAGTTCCATAGAACAAATTGTTACACCTGACTATCTTGTTTTATTTGAAGTAGGTTGAAGCTCGAACACGGCACGGATCGATTCTCAAGCTATTTAATATAGATTTTAAGAAAAAATGCCCAGTAAGATTTTGAATACTAATTCAAGATAAATTTCTCCAAAGAAATTTCGATGTTTTAGTGATGTATAGTTGACTGACATGATGGATTTAGGTGAAGATGCGATTCTTTAAACTAGAACAAAATCGAGCGGAATTTGCAGGATTCAATGCGGAAGTTTCCTCATGATTATTCGACCATTGAATCAATTTTAACTTATGGTGATAGATTCTATTCACGGAGTCTTTCATGATAATTTATAGGAAACATAAAATAGATCAATTTTTTTTACTCAAAGATTTTGATTGAGATTTATGTTTATGCCTGCATTTTTAGTTAACTTGATAATTCAATCCAGTTTACTATTTTTTTCTAGTGATTAAAAAGAGCCATGATACTAGGTGTTATACTATATTGATATGTTTACCACACGGACGACAACACTTTATTACATTTTCTTAAACAGCGAAAACATTGAATTTAAAGAAAAAAAGGCCTCTCGTATAGAAATATGATTTCAAAAAAGAATGAGACAAAAACACAATAAAAATGTAAAATACGATAATAAGCAGCTGACAAACAAGAAGACTATCCGAATATTCGATTGTTTTGAACATTCATCATTTTAAAAAAGATAAATTTCAGCAAAATAAAGTCTATGTCATACTTTGCTCTTATATAAAGAATATACGAACACATATAAAGAATAATACTGAGATGAAACTGAATCGGATTTGATCAGCACCTAAAAAATAAAACATTTAAAAATGGCCTAATATAACTGAAAAATATTTGAATGTTACCATTAGTATTATCATTAATACAACGTTGTATTGAACGGCCAAATGCATCAATTGCATTTTGAACTCGTTTGCCTTCAGCACATCGACATCGTTGACCCGAGCAAATTCCGTTGCTACCACATTGTTCTGGCGTAGTACATCTTGAATCGACGGATAGAGCTAAATTTATTTTCAATTAAAATTAAAAATTTAATCGAAATTGTTTCCACATACCACATAGATTTTCATCTCGGTAATAACCTGATTCACACACACATTTATTTTCCTCCTCAAAACATCGGGAATTGCCAATCAGGGCGTTACAAACATTAGGACCCTGTGTTACACAACGATCATTATCAAAGTTGAATTTAGCTAAAAAACAAAATCTTCGATTCTAATTTTCTCCTTTTGCTTGTAACTATTTACCGCATTGAAAACCAGTATCTCTATAACTGAATGCGCATTCACCGCGATTGCATGATGAACATGTGACATCAATATTTTCAGTTGCAACAAATGAAGAATTGCATGGTTTGTATAATTGTATTTGTTCTTTAACTGGAACACAAGTATTGTTTTCTTCGATAAAACCTTGTTTACAAACGCAATTGTATCCATTACATACACTATTTGCCCGATTATTACAATCCGATGGACAGCGAGATTCTAAAAATAGCATCGAATTTTTTATTTTATTTTTCAAGACGTTAGAACGCTGTTTGTTTGAGAATATCTCAATTAGATTTTTAATCAAAATTCTACTCATCTTGTGATTAATTGAAACTCGATCTACTGCGCGTTCATAGTTAATATCAAAGTCACGCTCGACATTAGAAAATAACTCTGTGACTCATCCAGCGCTCTCTCTGATACGACTCGCAAAAATATAATCTTCAGGAATTTCAAGATGGACTCAGTCCCTGTCAACGGCGCCGCCACTACTATTAACCCTGACCGACAAATATGAGGTTCAGTTATGATCATATCGGGATCGCTATCATAGTTTATTACTTACCACATGTTTGTGTAAATGGATTTAAAAATAAGCCATGTTTACATACGCACACTTTATAATCACTACTTGCACTTGTTCTGTGTGTGCACTCAACAGTATCTATATTAACATTATCACGAGTACAGTCTGCATCAACATCACACGAAACATTATGTCGTTCGTGTAGACCCGGGAAAATGTAGTTTGAAAAACTTTCTAAACGTGAATGAAAATATATATTAAATAATGAATGACATTCAGTTATTTGTCAACAAGATTTACCACATCGATTATCATTTATGTTGAACGATGATTTACGATTACACCAGCATTGATTGTTTTCACAGAACGAGTCTGTACCATACTTCGCAATACAATTATCAGTAGTAAAGTTGGTACAACTGTTTGCTGAAAGTGGTTCTTTGGTGCCAACCAAGGGAATATCAACCGTTGCTGAAGAATTATAAATAAAAAAAGTACAAAGCCTTTTCAATCGAGAAGATCACTCACTACAAATACGATTGTCTGCACTTGAAACAAAACCTTCATTGCATTGGCATGTCCCCTAGATGTATCGATAAAAGATGTTAGTGATAATCAATGATGAATTGTTAGAAAATAATTTACAGTTATCTTTGTGGATGCATGTTGTGGGCAGTCAGAGCTTATCAGAGTTTGAAACCCCGTTGGTTTATTTAAGATTCCATCTAAAATAGGATCAGAATCATTATTTCATTATTTCAATTTACAATGATATACTTACGACATCGACTTCCATCATTGTTTGCAAAAGAAATATCATCGGGACAAACACATCGACTGTTATTCAATTCTGCGAGTACACCAAACAACGCTCGACAGTCGCTCGCAGTTATCGGATTAACATCAGGTATATTTATAACAATAGATTCATCGAGTCTACCCGGTATACGAACTATAAAAATACAATACAATTTTAATTCAGTTTAGATTTCATAACAATAAAGCATAAACATGAATTCTTACCACAATCTCTTTTCATTAAATTTGATGGTCGATAGCCCGATCGGCATTCGCATCGTCTGCTATTAGTTATACTTGACATTGAATTCGGTATGTTACATGCAGAAACGCTTCCAGTAAGATCGGTATATACCAGAGGCCCTTGACAGCATTGAAGAAATCAAATTCAATAATAAAATCAACTATTATCAATTTAAAAAACTTACAACATTCTACACCAGACGGACTCTTGAATGCAATTGGTGCACATTGACAAACTTTTATAGAAGCCGTATCATTGAAATCAGCAAGCCAGCCACTATAGAGCGCTGCACAATCTCCTCGCTGAAGATCAGCTTGATTAACTGTAGCTTCGTTCCAATTATATAGTAAAGATTTCGGATCTAGAATTGTAATTAAATCAAATAAGAATAGTTTCTTTTAAAAGTTTTTTCATACCACAGCGTCTGTTATCATTCGATTTTCGATTTTCACCTTTACATTCACATGTACCGGCATTTGGAGGTTTTGAGCCTGGTGGACAGTTAGGTTCAGGTTGTGAAACACCCAAAAGACTATCTACATAAATTGAAGAAATTATTTTAAGACACAATTTGTAACATTTGAATCATGATCAACGAAGAAAATATACTAATATACATCGTTAGCTTCACGAAACTATCGTATGTTACTGCTTTACTGAAGAATAAACGTTTTTCCATAGAAATGTATAGATGAAAAGTCTTTTCAAATTACACTTCTTTTGATTACGGCTTCATTCTAATTGTGTTTATGTATACTTACAACAAACAACAGGCGCTGGGTTACGAAATGATATAGTAGGATCACAACGGCAAACACCTGGGCGGCAATATCGAGCTGCTCCTCCAAATGATGTTTTACACGAATTATTTGCTGCAACTGACCCGCTTGTACTGCAATCAGCTAACGTCTCTTGATGCTCGAGGACTAATTCTATTGATTATTCGAAAAACAGAGAAAAACAACAAATTTTAACAAAACGAAAAATCCATATTCATACCACATCCTCGATCTTCGTTAACTTGATTATATCCAGCTTTACATACACAAGTATTATTGATAAAATCGGCATTCATTGGACATGATGAATTTTCAGCTGGTTTTCCAAGACGATAGACTTGATTAAAAAAGAAAAATTTCGATAATATATTGTTGTTTTTTGGAACGTTCTCTTACCGCATCGAACTCCAATCGCATCTGATTGAAGAAATTTATTTGAACCACATGAACAAACATACTTATCTCCATTTGCCCGACATTGAAGTGGTGGAGGACATAATGCATTGATGGGCCCTTGTGCTACTGCGTCAGATTTTATTCGTGTACATATTCCATATTCAAAATGTTCACTTATCCATTGACGTTCAATATTTTCTATTCGTAAAACAGGATAAAAATTTTAGTTTCAAATCTGTTTTTGATTCATAAGCTCTTACTGCAATGTCGAGTCGCAGCGTCATATTCTTGATAGGCTGCGCAGGAACATAAACTGTCTTGAACGCTTTCTATACTTCCGTTAATGCTGCAAGTGCTGCTAAACGAATGTTGCGCAGAATCCATTGCAGTTGGAAAGATGAATTTGTAACGAATATTTTCTATACAAAAGCATAAATCAGTGAAAACGATTTCATTGAATGAAAGCAACAGATACATACGACATTCATTTCCCACTTTGTCGTATCCAGCACGACACCAACATGTATCTTTATTACCAACATTTGCACAAACAGCATTATTATCTTTGCAAAATACGCACGTTGTATTATCAGTTGATGTTTGTTCATTCATGGGTGATAATCGTTCGATTTCATTCGCGACTACAAATATATAGATTGTGCAGTATTCAGTATTGAAAGTCTATTCATTGAGAACTATTCTTAAAATTATCAAGGGCGAATAATAGAGCTTGTTAGCGCAGCCCCATTTTGAACTAAACTGTAGGGACTCAAATATATCTCTTAGATTTACTAAGCTAATTGTGAAATAGGACCAGTGAGAAATCTATTTTGTTGTTTTAAATCTATAATTACGGCATAGCCTATTTACTTATGTCAGCAAGGGGGTTTGCTTGTTAGCTGATGTCTTGAACGGTGGTCTCAGCTGGTCTCTAATATCTGTCATGATATGCCTTGCTTCTGTTTTTCATATAACTTGTAATGAAAAAATCGAAGAAATAGCAGCCTAATTAATCTATTAGTTCTTAATTGGCACAAGTTTAAACTCATTAATGTCTATAATGGAAGGAGAGGGAAGTCGCAAGAATCTCGCTTTTAAGCCTACACTCACCATTTTCTTTTAAAGTATAGGTGAATTCCACAAAAGCAAAAGCTAACTCATTTATAGATAAAATACTATTCTTGACAATAAAAGGAACTAGAGTTTTAGAGTATCGTTCGCATCGCGAAGAAGGTAACACATACAAAACTATGATCAAATAGGAAGAAATATGATGAAAAGCAATTTTAATAATACGCCGTTCTCGACTGTCATTGCCATGGAACTGAGTTATTTTCCCCACATTACTATCTCGACCATTACCCTTGTTTTCTTAATTACGAACAGTTAGTGTAAAATTATTGATCATTTTTAGGTCGATTCCGACTGTTGTCTTCAATTGAAGTATGATTTATATTGGATTTATCTAGTATTTGAGAAATGAAAAATGGATTGGTCGTTTTCTCCTAATCTTGAGAAATCGATTTTTATACTATATACTGTGCCTTTTTTTTTATTTTAGATTAATTCGATCAATAAATACATCCCGTTTTGTTTATGGCCAACTAATCTGAATAACTTCTATTATCTGAGATTTCATTTTTCTTATTTTTCCTCATATAACTATATTCGTTCTTTAGGACTAATTTCCTATTGAATTTCAAGAGCAGAAAAAAACCAATGATATATATTTTTTATCTATTTACTGCATTTTTGATTATTGAAATCCGTAGTATAACCATTTGGTGGACATTGACAAAATTTTTCCATGCGATTTCCATCGTTTCTACACGTTGCCAAAATATTCAAACATGAATCATCGTTATAACAGAAATCTTTGCTCTCATTTGCTTGTGCCCAGTTTAGATATAGCCGTGCTAATATTCTTCCTATGAAAAAATAATTATTATATTGTTTAATTCTACTTTAGAATAGCATTTCATACTGCAGCGCCCATCATTTAAAGGCTCAGAACCATCTTGGCATGTGCATCGTCGTAAACTAATATCACAAATATTTGACACACATTCGTCGTTGCCCGCGCAAGTTTCATTATATTTCTTCCCTGAAATTAAGAATAAAGACGAATAATGACTATTGATTTCTCATTCATGTCATTAATCAACATACTGCAAAGTCCGTTGAACGAAGAGAAAGTTTCTTTACAAACACATTTTTTCGATGAATTATCACATCGAGCGTGACGCATACAATTATCGTCAACACGACATGTGTCACCTTCATATACACTTTGTTGTTGAACCTCTATTTGAATATAAAATTAAAAGCAAAACTAAACATATTTTCTATCTAAACATGAATTTAAGTACCGCAAACTGTGTTGCATGGTTTATACCAAGGCGCATCACATTGACATAGATTTGTGTGGCAAATCAAACCAGTTCCAATGCATTCTGGGTTCGAGTCACAGCGTTCATCCAAAGAAGCTTTATATTTTTATTGAATTATAAAAATATAGATGATAAAAAATAAAAGTTGAACTATGAAACCTACCGGCTTTAGTCAATGAGATAAAAATCAGTAGAAGATTACCAAAAATAAATAGATAATGAAAAGACGACATTAGTTTTTTATCGTCTCAAGCCAAAAGTGAATAATAAAATTTTGATCTGAAGTAAAATGAAATCAATACAACTGCATTAATTTTTGTCTGTGTGCTCTATTATGAAAGAATTATAAATGAAGAAAACTTCTTTATTTCTTCTTTATATATGATGTTCTCTTGTTAATTTTTTTTCTTTACGAAATTACGATTAGTCAACTATGCAAAGGATAATACATTCTTGTTTACCGACGAATATCATATTACTTTTGTCTGAAACGCGATTTGTTGCTAGCTACCACAAACGCATTGAAGTAAGAGAAAAACGGTCACTAACAACAATAAGAGCACGGTACTCTCGTCATATCTGTAATAGCTTATTGTTTTTCGCCTACGTAAAAATATCAAATGATACGTATGCAAATGCAAATATGACATTGCGCTGAAGTGAGGAGGTCTTCATACGTCAGTGTAATGAAGCAACAGAGTTACTCATAATATATCTGTTTATTAAATACGGGAGATTAATAGAAGAGGAAAACAAATGTGAACGTCAGTAGAATAGAAATAAAATACTCTATTGTTTGTTGTTGACATATATTCTTATTTTATAAAAAGCACATACCTTCTCGTGCGAAAAATATAGAAACTTATTTAAACTTAATTCTTCGTAGCCTTATCTGCATCTCTTGGCTGATTAATTTCTCGTATCAAGCACAGCAAGACTGCTACGAATCAATACAAACGATTTCCATTTTCTTTCTTTTGTAAGATAAGTTACTTATGAAGTCAATATTAGTTATGTATAAAATTTTTGTAACTTTAGTAGACTATGTGAACACTTATGTTGTTGTTATTAACGTTGATACGAAGGTCTCACAATATTTTTATATTCGAGAATGATTCTCATCTGCTGCGTAAGAGAGAAAAAGCAAATTCCAAGTTTTCTTTGCTTATGAGCCAGGATTGAATTGAAGGGCAAGACTTTTTTTTTTTATTGAAATAAGAACGAATTTAAAAATACGCAAATATGTGCAATATTTCATGATAATTTATTCGTTTGTTTTCTGTTTTAGCATACATGCAAATAACAATCAAAATTGATCAAATTTATCGGATTGAAGTGTTTTATGGCATTGACATCTAACTTCAATTAGGACAAAATAAATGACTGAAATCAAGTAAATATCATTGATAAAAATGTATGTGTAAAATAAATCTATTCTCATGGTGAGTTTGTTCTCGTCTCATTTAAACAATTCTGAGAACTGAGACATCAGTAAAATTTCAGCATGATGTTTTGATTTCACTTTAAACTGTGATTACTTCTAGCGGAAACTTTCTTTTCAATAAAATTCAACATCTCATTGGTAAGAAAACGATACACCGAAAAAGACTTGCTGCACGCATTTCATTGTCACTACTTATTCAATCAATAGATAAAGACAATCGATTACAGCAATAGAGAAATTATTGATGAAAGAAGTATGCCAACTTTAATATGCCGTTTTGAACTTGACTTGAGTCCATCAATAGGCATCTGTAAAGCTAGATATATCCTTAAACAGGCTAGTGCACATAAGCCTCGAGCATGAACTTATAATTAGAGCCCTGCGGAGTCAAGATTTTTCGACTCCGGCGGAGACTGAGTCGGAGTCGGGTTTCGGAATACCGTATAGGGCTCTACTCACAATAGTTTTTGATCCATTTTGAATGTTATACTAGAAAATCAAACGATAAAGTAGTTTACGTGAAAGTCAGTTTAGTATTAAATCTAATCTCCCTTTGACTATTGTGAAAATTTCAGTCACAAAAATAATTTTTTCACCGAGATATTCAGTTGCAACAAATAGCCAGTGTCAAATCGTATGTAATAAAATTCCAGTTGACTTGGAAATTCAATATCTCAACAAAAATAACGACCGTCTTCTCATCGGAAGCTCTGATAATATTTGAAGGGTCATCGGATATATCCGTTGGTTACATTTCCAGGTCAAATTTCTATTATTTGCTGATTTTTAGCAAAAATCAAAAAAGTTGATTCAAAGTCAGCCGAAAATGGCCATAAATTGGCTCTTGCAGTAGTTCCTGCATACAATATTAACTCATAACAATGCTTTGGATTCTGTGAAAATCGAAAATATCCTATGATGTCAGTTTATCATGAATACATGACAGAAGATTGGATTGAAAATTATCTAAATTTGAGAGTGTGGGTGTGAGATCCTGATTCCTTTGAGCACTAGAATACGTGAAAATATATTACCGTATTATAGATGCACTGTAACAAGTATCACATTTTACATTTCGCGTATGTTTTATCAGCGGTAAACATGGAGCTTTGTCTCAATCACAACTAACTCAAGAAGGTTTAATAAATCTTGATGGTTTTACAAAAGCAATAGGAATGGGCCATCTCATATGCTAACATTTGACATTTGTTCTAATGCTTACGGAAAAGATATATAAATGAATAAACGAAATAAAAACATCGGACGTGTACTCGTTCATCTTACAAAGATGATCATTTTTGTTGTCATGTACTGACAGCCAATGAGCTGATAACTAACTCACACAGTTACCATGTCAGATTTTGGTTAACAAATCAATTCATTAATAGACTGATTCTTTAGGATAGAATTATCTATCTAGAATGAATCATATTTGATTCGGTATTTTTTCAGTTAACGATTAATTCTACGAAAATGGAATTTACCACAGGGATGGTTTATAGCTCTGGAAATGTTCATTCGATATATAGTCAAATGCTCTTGGCTTGGCCAACACATTTCAGATGAATAGTTTCTAGTACGTTAAAATAAACAAGTAAAGTTCATCGACATCGAAAGTCGATTCACTGGGCCCTAGACTGACAGTGCTGAGGATAACAAATGCATGAACAGAACAGAAAATCGGTTGTTCGTGCCAGCAGCTGATGATGATATTTTCAAACAGACCTGTAAAGGGAGCGGGAATAAGTGAAACTGAGGTAAGCATTAGACGAAAATTAAAGGTCTCAAGTAAAAGCACTGAAAGTGAAGACGAAAGACGGACAAAATGCAGCAGTGGCAGAATTCTCACCAAGCAAAATTCGAGAATTCTGTTCATTTATAAACTATGCTATATTCTTTCTTTCCTGTATTATATTCTTTCTTTCTTGTG